ACTCTGCTTAAACCTTCAAAATTGTCTTTGTGCTTTTAATAGTGGTTTTTTCCTCCTAATTAGATTGTCTGGATAATTTTAGTAAACATGGGGTCTGCAGTCTATTTAATGTATTCAAGCTACAGCACGTTAGAAGGATGTGGGTTTTCTATGAGTCTGGCCTACTTTTCCACCTCTAGAATTTGTGTAGCAAATTTATGTGCTGTGTTGGGTCCAAACCACCAGGTGGGCTACAGTGGAAATAGAAGCCTTCTGGGTTGCTAAAATACCAGCTTCTAAACAAATGGAAATCTGGCAATGCATTAGCTTCTTAGCTGCTTTAGATTAGCCATGAGAAATGGCATTTCTCATGTCCTTGCATGCACATGTGCACACTGAACTGTGCTGGGGTGGTTGGCTTTGTATATGGTACGTGATGTGAACTCTCTTTAAAAGAACTTTTTACTTCAACTCAGCAAATCTGAAGGTTGCACTCTTGGATAAGTTCCATTTCAGTTAATTACCTTCTTAACCAACTGCTTATTTATTAAGCTGCTTAAAATTGGTTAGTTTATTGTAAGCCCAAGCAAATTGTCATTTTACTGTATACATTTACATAAAAGAATAGAGGATGCCGAAAATTCACTTGTAAAGCTTCTGTACACTCTTTAATGTCCTGACCAAGCCAGTATCACAGGAATGTTCTGCCCTTCGCTAGGGAACACTCCCTAGAATTGCTTCATCGCTTGAAACCTGAGCTCAGGCAGGAAATGTTCAACTCAGTCCCTCCACAGACCTGAGAGGTAAGTGGAGTTTAATTGCACAAGTTCTGTCCTTCTCCAGTTGCTGTAGCAGCACGTGCTTTGGGTTGTTAATTCAAGTGTCTAAATGTTACCTGCTTAGCAGATGACGCTGAAAAAGTATAAGCAGAAACCTTCTTCATATACGAAGGTTAATCCAATTTAAATACAATTGCATATATAGAAAGATTTTAGTATAAGTGGCCATGGTACTGTTCATGACATGAATATGCAGACACAGTAGCACCTTGCTTAAATTGAGCTGCTGTTGTTGCCAAACTTTTTTTGATTGAATCTCACCTTTTGCCTTTACTCCTTTTTCTTTTGGGGCTGCAGATTTTACTTGAGAGCTTGAAGTCAGTCCTTTATTTGTTCCATTACATATAACATATTTTCATTGCAGAAGTTTGCAACCAGCATAGCTGAATTTTTACCAGTTTTGTCAGTATTTGCTGGGAAATCAGATTGTTATGATTTATAACTTCGTAAGCAATAGCTACTCATCTCACTATTTTACTAGTGTGCTTTCAAAATGTATAGCAAGAATGGCAATATTTGGTCAGGAGAAATAATAGTGTCTGCATTCTTGGTGTATTTCTGGAAGAAAGGAGTAGTAAAGATGTCATGGATACAGTTTGGGGCCAATTATATTGTAAAACTAGTGTGCCACAGTAAGACCAGTCATTGCAGGGTCTGTCTGAGTTTAATAACTGCATCCTTTTTGTATGTGCATATGCTGATAGAGGTTTAAATAGGGGTTGTGTACACAATTGGCCACAAAGCAGTTACATGGAATAGCTCTGGCAGATTGTAGAAGGAGTATTTTTGAGAGAGCATGTGATGGTGAAGGCATTTTAACATAATCTCTACATACTTCCATAGTATCTTTGCTGACACATGAGGAAATAGTAACTTTGAATGAGGTTTGAAGAAAATAGTCTGTCTTTCGTCACCTTCCTCTGTAACTTTGGTGGCTGTTATATTTCCATTTTGTAGAAGTATTTCCATTATCATACTTAGTTGTAAAACTATATTCTGTAGTTGCAAAAGCCTCTTAGCTCCATGGAAGAAACTTGTCTACTACAAGATGGCTGTTCAGGTTACTACGTATTGTATGTGGGACATGGAATATAATGTTTCATTGCCTAACCTGGAAGTTCAAAGCATGGTTTCTGAAGTCCATGAAGAAAACATTCATGAATGACTGGTGTCCAGCATGATGTGAATATGAGCTCCTCACCAGGAAGGTGCTAAACTCCAGCCTGTGGGAACAGTATGTGAGAAATATCTTTATGTGTGTGTCCTATTCCTTTCTTCCTTCCGTAAAGAGAGCGAGAAGGCATTGCCCTTCACGTCTGCCAGCTGGATGATCTGTTGTTCTGACCTGATGCAGCTGGTCCTGTTTCCTTAGCAAACTCATAAGACAGTGCCTTTTTTTTCTTGAACTTGATCATTTCATTTATCTCCATTGAGAAAGACCCCAAATCACTGTCTGTGACTATTCAGTGTTTTTATTTGGTTGAAGATTGTCTGTGTTAGTGCAAGAGCCATGCTGGGTCTGCAGGTTGGGCCTAATGAAGGACACGGTGAATGGTTGCAGATTTTCTCCTTGCTCACTCTTTTGAATTTGTTGCTGAAACCCAGAATTTTTCTGTTAAGTTTAAGGCAGCAATGAGGAAGGAAGCGATGCTATCAGTCTTGATCAGCAAATAAGACAAAAATAGGGGAGAGAGCAGGAGGCAAAGGTGAAATGTGCCTTTTTCTTCCTTTAAGGCGAGCGTGATGCTTTCTGGCCTTTAGCAAGTCTTTTTTTTTTTTTTTCTTCTGCTGCAAAATTGTAGATTGTTGAGTTAGACCCTCCTATCTCACTACCAAATGGTTTAGTGAGGACTGCAATGCTTATTTGGAAGCTAAACAGTCCTACTTTGTGCCCTGGTGTTTGTATTCGTGGGAAAGGACTCTAAGATAAACCCTCACTGTGTCTTGGCTGATTTGTCACTTATTCAAATCCTTGTAAAATATGCCTGTCTAAGGGTTGTTTCTGTGGTATGGATAAACTGGTTTTGATCAAATTGCATGCTTTTCTGAAACCTTCTTTGATTCAGCTCACAGGCAAATACCGCTCTAAAGTCTTGGCTGTAGTGGCTGGTTGTGTAGCTGCACTGATGAAGATGCTGATCTTTAGGCTGTTATGGCTAGTAAAGTGATTGACTTTTAGATTGTGTCTATGTCACAAAATATTTTTTGTAAAATGTTATGTTGTTGGCTCAGATCACTGGTTTGGGGGTTCAGTTCCTGTTCTCTGTAAAGGTTTTCTTCTGCCTATTATTTTTGGGACTTGTAGAAGTCATAGCGGAAGCAGTCTGGAGGAGTTCTCAAACGTGTACTTTCTTGTTAGGCTTTACTTTGGAGTTTTAATGTTTGCAACAAAATTTTTCATTATTTTATTATTAAGAGAAAGTAATGAGTTTAGCTTGCAGCTGGTGGGTTTATCTAATATCTTTATCTTTTCTCAGTTTGTCATATTGGTTTAGCAAAACAAAAACAAACTTGCTGTACATCTGCATGAATACAGTTCTGAAGCCAGAGTGACTGAGTAGCCAAAAACCCCCAAGCTGTCTGCTAAGGAAACAAGTACTTTTTAATCTGAAAATGCTGGTTAAGTCAAAACTGAAACATTTTGCTAGGACTGATTATAATTAAAAAGATTTTTTGACGTCTGGTCATGCTGAAAGAGCTGAAGATGTGCTCTAGAAAAGCAAAATACCATAAGGGTTTTAGGGCAGTTGCTTGGGAGGTTGGCTGCAGGTGGTGGGAAGCAGGTTAAACTGCAAAGTCCCAGCCCTCTCTGATCCAGGCAGCTTGGATCTCCATCTTCCACTTTTCCACAAGGGTCTAAGTGTCTAAGGTGTCAGCTTTTTAGGAGGAGATTGATCTTTTATTTGTTACCCCTGTTCCTTTGTCTATACTGGAGCACAGATATCTCTTTATGATCCAGGCAAGCTCTCTAATCACTGCTGGGATGTTTGCTGTCCTCTGCTAAACTCTCCTTTTTTTTTATTACGATACACAACCACCCCCCCAAAAAATAGGAAGCAAACATGTAAATGTTTTGGAAGCCTTTATAATTTTTTGCAGAATAAGGAAAATCAATCTTTTGCTATTCGGTTTTGAGAATACCTGTTTTCTTTTACTATTTTTAAGGTATTTTAATTTTCTATCTCTTAGTATGTTCTCTGCCTAAGTTATGAAACTTTGTTTGCTTACGCCCTTGTCAAGGATGTAGAAATAGGTTGCTGAGAGTGTAATTAAGTGAATCACAGGCCCTGATCCTGTCAGGTGCTTAGGAAAATACCTAGTGTCATTGCACAGGGCTAATAGCATCAGGTGTGCACATAAAGTACTGTGCTGGAATGGGGTTGCATGATAATCATTAGGATCTTAGTTTTGAAAAGTGAAAGTCACATTTCAGTTCTTGCATTTTATTTATCTGCTGAGTGTAGGCATCTGTTCATCACGGTTCCTTATTTGGAGAATAGGAATTGCTTGTGCTTGCAAACTAGATATGTACATCCAGTCAAATTGACCTAGACCAGAAGAAGATTCAGTAATTTGACAAACCTTTATCTATTCATGTTGTAATTAAAGAAGAAAAAAAAAAAAAAAAGCAATACTAGTGTGTTTGTTATCGCTGTGTATTTGCATTTCTAGTGATTATACAGTGAATGCACAGGCTTTGTAGGATAATGCATCAAAATATTTTGTGTATTTGCTGTTTTCTTTTCTTCATGCCTTTTCTCTATCAGGCCTTTTGGTGTAAAGATTTTTAATATTTTTTTTGCTATTTTGCAGTGAAATTAATTACTTAATTGCCTCTAATATTGGGAGTCTAGTAGCCATGATGCCCAGCAATTACAGTGGGTTTTGAAGTGAAAATGTTGTTCAGAACCTTTAAAAAAACACCAAAACAACCTTAAAATAGGGAGGCAGTGGACAATGGACAGAAAGTAAAAGACTGAGCATTTTGGAATAATGTTGTCTTGCAGATTGTGAGACATCATTTGGTTATTGGATACTATGAATTTAGTACTCACTTTTCTTTTGTCTGTAATGGAGATTTTTAACAATGGACCTGCTCTGTGTTGACCTTAATTTGAAATATGACACTCTGGTATTTGCATTTTTTGATCTTTTTGAATTTTGTTTTTGTTTTGCCTGTAGACCCTGTGTGGACAGTAATGACCGCACGTTTCCGATTGCCTGCTGGCAGAACCTACAATGTACGAGCATCTGAGCTGGCACGAGACAGGCAGCATACGGAGGTGGTCTGCAACATTCTTCTCCTGGATAACACTGTACAAGCTTTCAGAGTTAATGTAAGTAATTTGCTTAGTGCAAGTCGGTATGACTGAGCTTGCTTTCCTTTGCTGGGTTTGTACGGCTAGAGTTTGACTTTCAAAATAGTGTTAAGTACAGAAGGGGTAGTTGTGCTCAGGCAGGCATGTTTGTACGCGTACATACTAAGTCACTGTGAACTTAGTCATTCTGGCATCCTCTGTGGTACTAACACATCTTTATTTCCAAATTGAATATACAGAGCATAATTTATTTCTAGTAATTCTCTTCATGGAATAAAGTTGTATAGTGGAAATGGAGGGCGGTTTTGCCACTGAGTTGAATGAGAAGTGAGCTTTTGTTTTGCTCCATTCTGATCTTTGCATTTTGAGCATGACTAAGGTGTAATGGTAACTCCTCTTGTTACTGTGTATCTGACTGTGTTAGTCCTGTGGATGCTTATATTTGGTTACAGCTATTATCTTGAAGTATCTCTTTGTTTTTTGTTTTTCTTAGATTATATTCTTGTTCTGTGCTTTCCCTCACTTAAATTTACCACCTTCTAACACACTCATGAGGATGGCAGGAAAGAAAATAGGAAGCTGTTTGCTGAATGCTGAGGACTGTTACTGGGAAAAGTGAATAACTTTTACATATAAGCCTGGAATTTAAAATAGGTTATTTGTCAGATTTTCTAATCTGTAATCCTTGGTAAGGAGTTAAAATGAAAATGTTAATGATTTTGTGCATATGTTCACGCAAGTGCAACCATTTCTTTCAACTTCTTGATGAAAAAAACCCCACAAACAACAGGCAAGGACCTAACAAGAAAACATTAAAGCATTTGAAGTGATCTTTGTGTGAGAAGAACCAGAACTCAACAGGAGAGCAGCTGTTGCGTGTCCTGGGGCAGGCTTATAAGTTTATAAAATTGATGATGTATGTGGAGAAAGGTTCAATAATGTGATGGTGAAAGTTACAGGTGGCATGATTATTACAGTTTTTCAAGAGGAAATTGAACTTCAGCGAACTGTGAGAAGGAGTAGCTCGATATCAAATAAGGCTGTGGGACTTCAGATGGGAAGCGAGGGAGAAACTGAAGCAGTTCGCAAGTCAATATGAAGAAGTTTAATTTGGACTATTTGGAAAAGTTCTAATGCTCAGTAATACTGAATTCTGCTATCCAGCATTCAGTGAGGGTATTGATACATTTGAATTGTTTTAGGGCAGATTGGCGAGAGTGAGTGCATTTCTCTGTTCTGTAATCCTGTGGTTAGAGCCTGTGCAGCCTGTAGCTGCCTGTCAGAGGAGCAATATCTCTGTTATCTAGCAAAACCTTGCAAGGATCCAGTATTGAGTGGCTTAACCACCAAGTCTACCTTTAAATCTTATTTGTTTTAGATGTTTCAATTAAGGTAGAAGGTTTTAAGATGGTCTCTTAGGGCATTTTTGTAGTTCGACCAGGAGCTGTCTAACTTTATGGGATTTCTGTGTAGTTAAGGGTGGGACTTTTGGTTGATGGAGTTGGAGTAAGGATGATCAAGGACTTAAATTTATCAACATTAAGCCTCATTTCCTTTCTGGGGTAATTTCTCTTGTATCCCTTTTCCCTTTTTCTTGACAATATTCTGCTGCTCATCTTCTCTTCTCATCCTTCCTAACAGTTTCCAAGTCTATACTGCCTGCCAAAAAGCAGTATGTGCAAAATGTGGTTGGACACAAAGCATTAAAAGTGCATGAGAAGTTGTAATGTATTCTTTTTCCCTTCAGGTGCATGAATTTTCCATTAAAATATCTTTCTTGCAGTTTTTTGTTTGTTTACAAGCATTGGCTGAAATAAAGAATAATTGTTGTAGAGTATGTATGGGAGATGATACTTCTTTTTGATCTAGGTGTTCAAAAGCTGTATGTTACAGAATGGTAGTGTCTGTCTAGAGTAGAATCACCAGTTATAAATCCTCAAATGTCTGTTCTGTCTCTCCCACGAAAAAATTATGTAATATGTTCTCACCACTTCCCTAGTGTACTAAATATTTTAGTTGCAAGGATCACGCTTTACTGCTTATACAGATCAGCCTGCAAACTTGTCTATTAAAACTGAGTTTAGGGAATAAAAAGTTCCTTGGTGCTGAACATTTTGATCTCGGTTCTTAGCCTCAATCTGTATTTTTAAAAATAAAATATTCAATCATAACAAATGTATGCTAACCTACATGGTGTACAGGTTTTCAGGGTTTATAGCTGTGTTTTACTTTATTGTGGTTGGCACAATACTCGGTAATAAATATTTATGGAATTGTTTTCAAAATAGGAGGAACAAAGATAATATCAAATAAATTAGCGAGTTTTTTTTCTCCTGGTGATTGCTATAGGTGTTCTGTATGCTAATGATTGTAAAGCTTAATCATCTGGAGTATGCAGTGCTGTATTAATAAAAAGGTACTCAAATGCTATTTATTTTCCAACAGCAAAGTACTGATCACAGACAGTGTGTCTTGATAATTTATATGACATGTTCTAAGTTTGCATTTCAACCAGCCTTTTCCATTGATCTGCAAAATAAGCATTCTTTGTGCTAAGCCTTACCTTGTATAGAGCGTAAGAAATCAAATCAAATAATCCCTGTGGATTGTAGCCAGACAAAGGTTATTTTGGGTGCTGGCAGAAATCAGTTGGAACTAACCTGAGCACGTATTTGAAGAGTAGAAAACCTTTTTATAAAATGCTCAGCTTACCAAATGAAGAACTCCTACTTTGGGCCTGAAAAGCATACTTCAGAGAACGTGTTTCTGGAAGAAGTGAGGCTGGCTTGAGTTAATTGCGTGATCAGGATGATTTGTATTACTGTAAACCTGCTTCTTCAAGATCAAATTGCTTTAATTGTTTTTAATTAAGTGTTTAAATACCTCAAATTGCATCTTTTCCTTGGAGGCTGACTTTACTGTATTCACTGAAAGCCAGTACGTAGATAGAGAGATCACATGAAACTTGAGGGGAAAACTAAGTCAAGGTAGATGGGGATGAGTTGTTCTGTGAATGAGCCTAATGGGCTGGTGGTCATGGACAAATGTTCAATTTGTAGTCTTTATTGTCTCAGAATTCTCCTCAAAGTTAGTGAATTTACACTCTAATGGAAGTAAAATCTAAAAATCTGTAAAATGACCCAAACCAAAATGAAAAAACCCCACAGCAACTAATTCTAGAAGTGAGATTTTCTATAGAATTCTAATTCTAGAAGTGAAAATTTTCAATAATTTAATCTTCAGCGTTGCTTAGTTGCTTCCCTTTTTTCTTTGACCAAAAAAAAATGAAATAACCTGCTTGGAAACTTTTTTAAAACAAGATAACTTTTTGCAAAGCTCTTGTAAGATGTAGAAAGGAAAGAGGCAGTAGTGCAGCGCTGGCTGTTTGGAGATGTGCTTGCTTGAGTCTCAACATGAGGTGGGAGAGGAGAGGTTCCAGCATTGCCATTAGTGAAGGACAACCTCTAGAGCTGTCTGACCCCCTCCAGGAAAGCCCAGGACCTATCATCCCATTCTTCTGTCATCAGAAGGCCAGATCTGTTTGGAATGACATGCCAGCAGTCTCTTCTGGTGTTTGCTGTAGATGCCACCAGTTCTGTAGGCCAGCAAGGAAACCAGAATGTCGCTAATAGAAATTGGGAGGGTGGTGGTCATTGGTAAGCAGGCATTAAACCAATGTCATTGCACATCTTTTCTTAAATTTTCAAGCCCCGATGGTTGCAAACAGATAACAATCATTTTGCAATTAGAAATGACTGTGTGTATATCTAGTGGTACTGGGTGTTAGCCACTAGATGCTAGATACTTCATAAAGTGCAGTTAATGTATTGATGTCTGGTGTTAATGTCAGATTTGTTCTGAAAGGCCAAAATTTGTTAGAGATTTTGCCTCCAGCAATGACTAATAAGAAGTAGGCATAACATTCTAATATTCCAATTCAGAAAATAATGTTGGTATGTTTTGTATCTAACTACTGCAGTTTTATGTTAGACAGTTCCCATTTTTCATATATTTTTCCATTATTTCCTGTTTTAAGAGGAAATATTAACATCTATCTTTATCTGTAGGAATGAAGCAAGTTTCTTACTATGCTAATCCCCATTTATTGGTTTTGGTTTTTTATTTAAAAAAAACCCAAACAACCAAAAATAGAAACTTGTTACATACTTTTTATAATTTATAGCAGGTATTCAAATGGTTATGATAGTATTACAAATATTTTGGACCTTTCACAACAAGCAGGATTGTGACCTTCACCTGCTCTGGCAAGCTGCAACATCATTAAATAAATATCAGAGACGGGTTAAACTGAGGTCTGGTTTTACTAGATGCTTATCTTTATTTTGTACTGAGAGTAAAACATCGTGGTCAAAACAAATGCTTCATGTTGAAACTGGTCTTCTCTTACCCAATTTGCTGCTCTGTTGCAGGAGAAATACCTTCCTTGCGGTCGTGAAATGACGTTCTCTATTACTAAATTCAAACCGATCAGCAAGTTCTAATCTTTTATCATTAGGAAACATCTATTCAGATATTTAAGAAATAGTATAAATTCTCAGGTTTGGGTTGGAAAAAAAGCAGCAGAATTGATGTCTGCACGTTGTTTGAAGAAGTAACATGTCAGCTGTGGTAAATGTAAGCCTAAACTTGGGTTCCAAACGTCTCCTGTTTTCTGATAATTACCATCATAAGTTCTGCGTTTGAGTTCTGATTTAAATCTACATGGGGAAAAATGCCAAGAACCAATTAGTGTTGCTATGTAATTTTAAAATTAGTTTTATTTGCTGAAAAAAATGTACTGATTACAGGTTCATTTCAAACTATATCAGAAACTTCTAATTTAGTAAAAATGACTGACTATTTTTGGATTGCACATAACAATTGCCTTATGCATTTTTACAGTTGTATATTTATTATGTTAACATCTGGGTTTTTTCCTTTGCTTGTTTTTAGTTATTGGAAAGTAAATTTTTCAGTAGTGAACTTCTTAACAATGGTACTCCTATTGGTTGTTCATTTTGGTAAACATCATGAAATTTTCTCTGTATGATTTTTTGTAAAATGTAAACGTAGCAATTCTTAATCACTTTAACTTAGCAAAGTTTATATGGGACCTGAAATACATGCCATTTGCAATTTCAACTTACATACACAGAGCTGTGGTTGTGATTGTCCTGCTGGGATCATTTCAAGCATAATTTGTTGATAGCGATTTTCTAATTTTTTTATTATTATGAAATAAATTATCAAGCTTCTTGGAGTTTTTAGCCCCCAGTAAATGGTTCTGACACTTTACTTAACTTCAGTGTAATTTCAGCTGAACAAAGAAAAGGCTTTTGATAGAATGCTCTTAGATGTTAACAAATGCCTGAATGTGATTTGTAGATTTTCCCACATATGGATGTTAATGAAACTCTTGCAACCTTCTTTTGACCTTTTACTTATATACTTCTCTTTTAACAGCTGTAAAAGTAAACTGTTGTGTAATGTCTATGAGAAGTGAGGTTATTTGGGAGCAGAACAGCAGTTTTTTTGTTTTAAAACTTTAAAATTATCTTATTGCCTACAGTAAACAAGGCAAGATGTATCAAATCCACTATAGTATCAATAATGGTATGCACCTAGAAGATTGTTAGAAGCCTGTCTGGTGTCAGAGAGGTAGAAAATCTGGTTGGAAAATGTATCAATCACTTCTGTCATAATTTTTTTTGTTGTTTGACAGTTGTTCTTGCAGAATTTTTCCTTATCTTTTGTACTTCAGGAAGCTATGACACTTTAGCTTCTTTGAGAAACTCCCTTAATATTTTACCAGGTGTATTTATTGAGTCCTGTCATAATGGCACACTCGGCCTTTCAGTTTCTGTGTTGGCAGTATTTTCAGGTTAGGCAAAAAATTGCCGGGTACCAACAGCTACAGAGTCTTTTTATATCATTTTGTGGGTAAGATTTGCCCCTGTAGTAGAAATCAAGTTTGTTCCCTTTCTCTGAAAAGCAATGTTACTGTTAGTCAGTTCATTTGAATTAGTTCATTTAGAGAGAAGTAGTATCTTTGAGAGAACGCATTTAAATAACGCTTCTCAGTTAGATACTTGGCTGCTTCAGCTCTCCCTGACATTTAACTTTGGAAATATTTTCAATATGCTGGTTCATTTAGATTCATGTAGGCACGGTGTGCGGTCTCTGAAATGAGCTGGCAACGCTGCCTGCCTGAGAGATGCTGTTGGAGAGTTGGTTTTATAGAAGAATGTCTCTGTTTCCAGAACTTGCTCATCAGAGCGGCTTGGCCGGGTGTGAACTCGCTGTTCCTGCTGCAAGAAAGAGTCTAGACCCTCACCCTCAAAGTTATTTTTTTTTTTTCTTGTAAAAGTATTCACTTTCTTTGTACAGAAAACGGCAAGATGAGGCAGGCGTTTGTTCCTCTCTCTGCTCTGATCCCAATAGTGTTTTTAAGTTTTTCATGGAAGTTTTGTGTTACTGGAGGTGTGACGTAGCAGAATTGATAAGGATTTTTTGCAATGTTTGATATTTTTTTTTTTTTTTTTTTTTTTAGGTAAAATAAGGAAGAATAACTTGTACAGACCTGTACATTTAAATTCAGTGACCCAAACTAAGGCTACAAAGTTCTTTGTCAAATCCTATCTTTTTTTGTTTTCTTTTCTTTCTTCAGTACTACTTTTCAATATCAAATTTGGCTAATGACTGGCTTTCAGGATTAATCACGTAGGTAGCTGAGAAGTGAAAAATTCTTACTGTCAGAAAATGACAGAGAGGAAAAATAATTCCTTACGTATGTTTTAAAAAGAGACATGACACTCCTTTAACAATAGTGCTCTGGGGATATACTTTGTGATATTTCACATCTAGGCTGCTATAGCACATCTGAAAGAATGTGTATGTTCTCTGCCTGCCTGAAGTCTGTGTGTCTGATTACATATTTGTTCACAAAACAATATATGTGTTTGTTCTCTGCAGAAACATGATCAGGGACAAGTTCTATTGGATGTAGTCTTCAAGCATCTCGATTTGACAGAGAGAGATTACTTTGGTTTACAGTTGGCTGATGAATCTACTGATAATCCTGTAAGTTTACTCTGGTTTATAAATACATAAATAAGTTTTGTAAATCATGATCATGTTCGTCACTGTGCTCTGTGTCATTGTAAAGAAAAGTAAATAGAAGCCATTGCAATATTGTGCCATCTTCTCCAGCTGCAGTTGAAGTGGTTCAGTATCACCTTACAGATATCATAAAACTAAATGTAAACGGTTACAAGTTTGGAGTAAAATGTTGAGATTTGTGCTTATGAAATAATACCTTAAAAGGATATCGCTTGTTTTATTGTATCTATTTACTAGGCTACATGATCATTGTTGTATGAATTTATTATTTATTTTTTTTTTTACTAGGACTTAACAAAAAAAATGAAGGGGTTTGTCCTGTATGGCATTTTTGTTTCTAGGCCAGATACCTGTTAGATCTTTTAATAGTGCTTCATATAGTCCACTATCTAACAAGGGCTGTCAGCTCATCACCTTAAGAGGAAGAAGAAGGGACTCCTTTGAAAATGAGTGGGTTTAATAGTTCATGCGCTTTAATTGAAAGGAAATTCCATAGGACTGAAGCTTTGTAAACCATTTTATAATTCATCAGTAGAAATAGATCGATCCAGCTCTAGGGTTCAGTGGCTGTAATAGTTACAGCTGTACTGCTGAGATCATGATTGTTTGAAGAATACTTCTTGAATACTTTCTTTTAAAGGTATCAAATGTTCAATACTAGTTTTAAAGTGACATTTAACTAAGTATTATTCCTTATAATGCGGTTTTTGCCTAATTCCCATTATATGCATGTCACAGTGATGGGCTCTAAATTTATCTTCCAACTGGTGTGTCAAAAGTAATTTTTGTTCACAAAATGTACAGAATGTAATCTATAGAGATAAGTGACACAGTAAAGTGTTAATCATTCAGTAACTAAGGTGAATTTCAGAAGATAGTGCAACTTTCTTTGGTAAATGCAGATTTGGTCTACTGTTGTTTTACCATCAAGAGTGACTATTCTAAATAGGAAGAATGCTTTTTTTAAATATTACTAAAAGGTTGGCTTTTTAAATTTTTACTATTTTTTAATGTCGAAGAGGAAGAAAGAAGTCACAATACAGCCATAATTTTTCTTCTGCCTGAATAGTGAATTACTTCCACATTTCCTTCTTTACTAGAGCAAATTATTCTTAATTATATTCTTTTTCTAAATTCCGGTAACATTATTAATATGAATAAGACTGTATAGCACAATTGTAGATACTTAACAAAGTTTTCTTTTGTAGCTTTGGGGATAGTTCTGTTAAGACATTGGCAAGCTGGCCTCATTTAGTCTTTTTATTCTAAACTTTGTTTCCAGGCTGAAAAGACATAGGCAAGCTGTAAAAAAGGCTGAATTATTTTTCAACATTGCTTAAGAATTATTTAATTGAATATCACTCAGTATTTTACTCAACATCCAAAAATTTGTAGTGTTTCTCATTTATCTGGTTTTCCAAAGCTTAGACCTCAAAGATCTCTTTTTTTAGTTTATCTATCAGCAGCTGAACACAACACTGTAATAGAAGGATCTGGTTAAGAGTTAGTCCAAAAGAAGAATGACTTCACAGCTATTTGATATAAGCACATGCTTTAAAGGTTTAGTATTCTTTTGATTTCTAAATATTTTGGCTTTTCAGCACATATCTAGTTGCCATGAAAACAGTGTGTCAGAGCTAAATAGAAATGTTACCAATATTAGTCATATAAGCTTGAAGAACTTAAGCGTTTGACTAATTCCAGGTTTTGATGTCAGTTTACTTTTACATTCGGTTCTTTTGAACAAAAAAAAAAGTGGATTGGGTTCACAAATATTCTAGTTACTTGTGAAATCACAGAGCAGAATATTAGTAAGATATATTCAATACAGAGGGAGATAAAGGTGATGGGGAAAAGGGAATTCTGTTAATTGAGTGTGGAATCTCTAATGTTGTGCCTAAACATGGATTTTGTAAATTGCACAAGCTTTATGCTTTTCTTTAATATTAAAGTCACAGTAGAAGTCAATGCAAGAAGGCACTGACGCTGTGTAGAGCTGAAGTGGTGTGTTTGGTGAGGGTCTTGGGCTGTGAGTACCTGGAGCAATGCTGAAGGGGTGAGGGTGCATTGTGGGGGTGAGGGTGCAGCGAATGCTGTCAGTGAGGGTGCTGGAGCACTCGTGAGAGGAGGGAGTGAGGCAGGGGTTGTTGCTGGGGGAGCAGGGAGGACAGAAGTGACCTTCCAGGGGACTGAGATACAAAATTCCTGGATCCTCGAATCTACCTGCCTCTCAGACTCACTGGGATGTAACTGGGATAACACGTCTTGCTAGCAGCACCTTGATTCGTAAAGTTCTGGTACTTTTGCCTAAAGCCTGTCGACTTCAGCTTCTTTACAATATTGAGTGGTTTAACCCTCTGCAATTTCCCAGAGAGACAATCACCTTTTGCATTTGGATCTAATGATATCACTTGAAAACATAGATATTGCCTGTTAAGTATGGTTCGAGAAAAAGTTATGGTTCTTTAGTTTGAGCTGTGCTAGTGCATACCAAATTGATCTTTACAGCCAGAAGAAAATGTAAATACAAGCTTTTCTGCTTTGCATTTCAATTCCAGGTTTTCTGGATTAACTGTAATCTCAGCAGTATTTCCCACCAATAATAAAAAAAGAGATTATCAGTCAGATCTGTGTATTTATTAGATATATTGGATCATAAACCCTTCCTTAAAGATATTCAAGTATGTTTCACCATGTTTTGAAAAGTTCTTATATAAAACTCATGTGTGTCCCTGGCTGGAGAGTCCTTCTTTAAGCCTTTACATTTGGTCTTAAAAGTCAATTGATCCTATGTGAAGTTATTTTTTTTTTAAATAATCACACTCTTTAAGCTGTATCAAACCCTCTTTTTAGTTCCTCTTAAGTCACCTACTACGAGGATACAGCATTTGGATGTAGTCATCACTGTTTGTTATTCAAAATGAATAAAATGACTCAGAACTAACTTCAGATCCGTAGTGTGTGTCAGACAGCTCAGGTCCCACTGTGTGTTGGTTTCCTTCTCCCTCGTGAAAAAAATAAAAGGCCCTGTGATAAATGTGAGGCAGTTAATGCCATAACAGGGTTAGGTCTCTGTCACTTCACAGGAACTGTGAAGGGATATCCATTCTGTGAAGAAGATATTCATATATCCATTTCCTGAGGGTCGTGGGCTTGCATTGCAAGGCAGGATGAGGAATCGAACAGTATTTATAACAAAGACTTACCAGTTAACTGAACTACACTGATATGTGCTGAGTCTCCTGGGTTGCTGGTGGGAAGTGGTTTTAACAACTTGTAGGACTTGCCAGAGAATGATACTTATCTCTGAAATTTGCAGCATTGATTTCTATAAAGATCTGTACTTCCCAACAGCAGCGTTCTCCCTTAGGGACGATTGAGACTGGGCTGCTGTTTGGTAAAATTGTTCTGTAGTCCTTAATCCATTAATCTGAGTGCTGAGCTTCTGGTTTCCAAGATCCCAATTAGCGATTTACCAGAGAAGACACTCAGGCTGACAAGTTGAAGAAAATCTGTGAGCCAGTGGGAACATTCTCTGGATGTGTCAGACCTGCAAAGTGCTGAGTCAAAAGTACTGGAACTAGTTTAAGCAAATTAACTTCTGAGTTGGGTAAATTAGCCTATTCAAAGTTCTTCACTGCCACAGTTGGTTCACTTTAGACCAATTTGTAGAGTTTCTGATGGTTGTTAAACACACCATAGTTGAGTTCTAACCTCTCTCCAGCTCACGTGACAATCATAGAACCAAGTTGTAGTTGGATTAGTGCTCTAAGAGACAGCTATCCTGACAGCAGAGACTAATTTCAGGGGAAGAAGAACAACAGCAACTGTTAATGATAATGTTGGTGTCTTTCCAGAATCAGTAAGAAGACTCTGTATGCCATTAAGACGTTTTGGTAAAGGACCAAGTAAAAAGTGATAGAAAAGCAACAGTGACTTGATTTATGAGTCTATAATTTGTACTTTTTTTCTGTCTCTAAAGTTGGTGTTATAATTTGTGTCTTTACAGAGGTGGTTGGATCCAAACAAACCTATCAGGAAACAATTAAAAAGTGAGTACATGTATGTATTTGGTCAATTCATATATCAGTATTATGCTGTTTTTCCAGGGTACCCTGATTAATTAGAAATAACTTTTCTTGACTGTAGGAGGATCACCTCACAGTTTGAACTTCAGAGTTAAGTTTTTTGTAAGTGACCCAAACAAGCTCCAAGAAGAATATACAAGGTATGTCTAGTTAATTTATCAATAAAAGATTTCTCTAGAAGGCTTATGTTTAAGGGGAAAACTATATATATTTTTTTTTAACATTTTATAACATGGAAATTTTCTTTTAAGTAATTTTTGTGTTATATTTGCAAACATCTAATTTTTGATTAATAATTACAAATATGAACTGTGCAATAACACCAAACCAATATAACAAAAAGCCTCTGTGAATAACTTTACAAATTTATATGCAAAGTGAAGTAACTATGTGAAGAAAATACTACCAGAAAAGAGAAAGTAGAGAGAGGAAAAACTTAACCCCTCTATTCAATGAGTACAAATTTAATTTTATGCTTACTTGTGTTCTCCTTTATGATTAAAAAATTTCTGAGCTTTCTCCATTTTTTTTCTTGATTCCTCCTCCCCAGTCCCGAATTTTCAGTTTGGCACTAATAAAATTAATCTCTGTTTGTATGGTTGTAGTCCTAGTTTGAAGCATGTAAGCTTTTTTTGATAGTGTGTTGAAGTTTGTTGAAGAAAGTGCTCAGAGTGACTCAAGATAGGAGGCTTGTGAATTGCAATTAGTCCCTGAAGAAATGCCTCAAATTTTCACTACTCTTAATTAGTTCTGGTCTTCTACATAACTGGCATGAGTTGACAGATTGCAATTTTTGGATTTCAGCCATTCTGAAAACAGGTCAGCCCCACTCAAAAAACAGTATCTAAATCATTAAGGATAGCTTTAGAAGAGTAAGTACCAAAACTGTGAAAATTTGAGTCCCTGTTTTTTTATGATTTCTTTGGATTTGTCATATTTTGGACAAAATTTTGCACACATCTATGCAGAAGAATTTACTAAAATGAGTCCCAGAGATCCTGGATCAGGCTTTGTTTTATTGAAATATTTACTCAGGAAAAAATTGGCAATTTACTGTGTCCAAATAATGAAAAATGTGTTATTTTAATTAAGGGGCAACATATAATATTCCTAAGGAGATGGGAAAAACAGTAAATGTTTATCAATATGAAGTAAACAGTAAAGAAAAGAGGTAACTGTTTACTTTAAGTGTTCTGCTGTAAATGCAAAGCTATAAATACGGCGTTCATTTAGATGAGAATAATGTACGATTGGTGTATCTAGGTCAGCTCTGCCTTTTTTGCTAATAGGCCTAATTGCCCCTGAGAAAACTCATTTGTATTTGGAATTATTATAAAGAGAGAATTATTATCTGTGGGTTTTTTTGGAGTGAAGTTAGGATGCTGTGTCACAAACGTGGGGTCATTTCATGTAATCAGTATTCACCCCTTTAAAAAGAAAAGAAAAGAAACAAAGCACAAAGTTCTGACGATTCCAGCTCAAGCTGAGACCTTTTGAAGATGCTTGGTTTTTATAAATTTCATTAAAACAGAGGAATGAGCTTGACATATGAGGCAGTATGAATGGATGTCAAGGAAGGGTTCAGTGCAAGCTCGTGTCTTATTAGAGCTCTGCAAATCCCTGATGGAGGAGCAGGTTATGAACGCCCCGGGTCAGAAGAGGTCACTGGGAGCCCAGCTTGTGTTGGGGACTGGAGCTCTAGGAGCTTGGCTTGGTCGGAAACGGAGCTTCATTAGTTCTGCTCACAGCGGAAAGACTTGCTTATTAACATTGACTCCACTTAGCGATAACTCTGAATTACCCTTTTCTAGGTAGAGATATCTATCTAAGGAAGATGAAAGCATTGTAATGCAGTCCCACCTTTATTGTTGTAGCTGAGTTTGTTGTGCAGGCTTTTTCAGATCTACATTGCTACTGCTTCTATCCAGTTCCCATTTTGCTCAATAGTACACGAGGCTTCCATGTTCACACTGGGGTGGGTTAGCTAACGAGCAATTAACTTCACTGTTTGCTGAAAATAGTGGATAGAAAGTGAACTCTGCCTGGTTCCTTAATCATGAAGTCCCTTAAGTAACGTGGAATATTTCTAATAAAGTGTTACACCGTAAAAAATAAAATAAAATGAAGGTGCAGCTGCACGTACAGGATGTTTTTGTCCTACATTTTTGCAGCTGTAAATGTTGACAGGAAAAATAGAAAAAATTGCTTTATTCAGTATATTTATGAAGAGATGCTTGAGCGCTCAGCATTTGAAGCATATCCTTGTAATATATAAATGTAACTCTTCATTTATTGCTTTTTTTTAACAGGTAAAAAAAATTTGCTTTATCTGTCCCCATTTTGGTTTCAATGTGTATTTTAAAGTGGAAAACGAAAAAGTATTTTGAGGCCTCTAAAGTCTGGCTAATGCCTCAGTTTTAATTTCTTGAGGTTAATACGTTAAACTGAACTTCTTGCCATTTTGGTCAGATAAGGAACCTTCAGAGGGTTTTGTAGGACTTAAGCACATGGGTTAACTTCTTTGCTTGTCAGTTTGCAATTATTTTCCCTCATTTTCTTTCAAGCATGGAATGTTTTACCTTTCCACTATATTTAGCTTATAAATGATTGGATTTCTGGGTGTATATTTGTAAATGTGGGAGTCTTTGGAGTAGTAGTTCATCCACTTTCTGAAGGCTATATGAGAAGTTATATTATGTATAATAAAGTATTATATTTTATTTTTAATTTCTTAGTGCAAGTTAACATTGGGAAACGTTGATGTTTGGTTTCAGTTGATAGGTGGCTTTGATAAGTAATTTGGATGAGTGTTTATAATGAATGGGTATGGCTGACTACTCTCTACTTTCAAAGCAGAATTACAAAAAGGAAACCAGATGACTTTTATAATAACAATAATGTAGGAGGTACCAAAGCAGAATAAATTGATAAACAGGAATGATATTTAAGTCTTTCACTCGGCAAAACTTTTTTTATTTTTAAATAAAAAGGCATTAGAACCTAAATTTTGCAGCTGCTTTAATGTCCTGTTATAAGGGCTTTTTGCTGAAAGCTTAAGCTTGTGCTAACATCCTGCCGTCTCAGCCTTGTTTGTTACCCCTCTTGGGTCTGTGTCAGTGGAGGTTTATAGCAGGTGTGATTTCCCACTTGATGTATAAACATTTATATTTCTATGAAATTGTCTAAGACCTTTGAGTGAAGCACGAAGGAACTAAATTGAATGAACAAAAGATTCATTCTGAGATGTTAACAAAATATTTGGGTTCTGTTGGAGAAACAAAGGAAGTAATTTAGAAGGAAATCTGTTTGCAGTTTCAGGTTTGCTAGGGTTTTTAAGTCCCAGTGTTTCTGCTGCTGCTCTTTGGTGGGAAATAGTTCTTGTTTTAAAGTGTTCATCTGTTCCTTTTGCTGTTTCCATCTCCTTCCTGACTTGAAAGAGTGGGCATGGGAAGACTAAACGAATTTCTAAACCAAGCTTTTCTCACATCATAATTACAGAAAACTTCAGAAGTTCAAGGGAAGTCAGTTGGAAGGCATTTGACATAATAGAATCCACGACTTTTATTTAAGAATGTAGCTCCAAAATATCAAGAGAAATTATTTTAATTTAAATGAAAGCAGAGTAATATCAAATACTCAATGACAATAAATTAATTTCATCAGCCTGGAGTACAGATCGTACTTATTAAGGTACTTCCATACACAGATGCAAACTTCAATTTTTGGTTGTTGTATTGAATAGTTCTGTTATTCACATTCATCAAGTAGGCACTTCTTTTTCCTTTTTTAAAACTTTAAGCTCAATATAAATACTGCAAAATAAAGCAGGTAGAATGTGAAATTTGCAGCCTTTTAGTGAAATATAATGTATAACTTCATAGCCAGTGTAATTTACCAAGTTGTATTATTATTTTACTAATCGCAGTTAAATTTCTTTCCCATAGGAGTTTAAGAAATAGCATGCAAAATGTAAAGGTTTAGTTTTGCACTAGCTGAGAGCGAAATGCACTAAATTGATGAAAAATGACTCAATAATTTTAATTACAATGTTCTTTCTTTGTTTTTTAAATAAGGTACCAGTATTTTTTGCAAATTAAACAGGACATTCTTACTGGAAGGTAAGACTTTTTATTTTTTTTGTGTTAAACATTAAATGCAACTTTAGTTGAGAAAAAGCTAATGGTGAGGGATTTTACCTGCAAAAATAAAAATAAATTTAAAATAAATTACTTTTTATGCAAATACAAGTGTGTTTATAATAATTAATTGTTCAATTTGTTCATGAAGTATGAAATATTAGGCTTTTCAAAATAACCAAATTTCATATGAAATATGTAATTTTATTTGTTTCTTATTTTAAAAACCAAACAAAACAGACTGCCCTGTCCTTATAATACTGCTGCTCTTCTGGCTTCCTACGCTGTTCAATGTAAGTATAATTAGTATTCATGTACACGTTAGTACTGACATATATATAAAAAGTAGCATTGATTAGTTTCTGGAGAATGTAGTTTTTATAGCATTATATTGTGAAGTTTGTGAATATGATGCTACTTTTCTCATGGTTGAGGAAATATGGTTGGTTGGTTTTTCTCCCCAGCACATTTTACTGAATGAGATATGGAAAAAGTACTGGTAATGCTTTCCTTCTTTACACCCATGCAGTTAAAAAAACCTGAAACAACCCTCTTGTATTTCTCTGTATTCTGAAGTGTGGGGTTGGGTTTTTTTGCTTGCAAATTATACTAAAATTATACTAAATTATACTACAGCATTTTTTTAAACACTAACATACCATGCAGTGAACCTCCAAATAGGTGTGGAAAAGGGAATTCTAGTCATATCTTGTCAAAAAGTTCAATACTCGTGTGTTGTCAATTTTAAGCCATCCATGGAGTAGATAAGTCTTAAAGACTGAGATTTGGTCCTCTTCCTCTCTCCCCATTTTCCTTCATAAGATTATATTGTTCAGTGGAAAAAAAAAAAATGCCACAAGAACCACCCAGGAGTCTGCACGTAGTTCTTGAAATTTTTGATCGTCAAAAATTCAGTTTTCTAAGCAGTCCTGGTGTATCCATCTATGTTGATGTGGTTTTTTTTCTGCTATTAAAGATACCTTATATCTGTATTTAATGCTATGTATACTTTTTACGTATCAAAGAAATAATGATAATATTTTCAGGGAAAAACCCTGTAGTAATGTTAATGTAATGTTTGTGCATAGGTTTGATAAGTGCTCACCTTTTTCCAGATCAATCAATAGAGCAGTTTCTCTTAAATAGAACTCCCAAACTCCAGCTACTTGGAAACAGAGATATACTGCAAATGCTGTCATGCTTAGGGGTTTGCCTTAAAGAGCCAAAGTATTTGATAATGAAGCAGGCACTATAAAAGTTTATAACATTTTAAGCTTTTAACTGTGCAATATTTTTATTTTTCAAATACTGTAGAAGTGGTGGGTACTGGCAATGTATTGTGGTTACGTATATATACACGAGATCCTGTTGTCCTTAAGTTCTTCAGTGTGCAGATCTCTGTCTAATGATTTTCTCTGGACATGCCTTTTACTAAACTCTCTCTGGCCTTAGCTCTTGAGGTTCTTTATAAATATAAATATCAGACGTGGATCTCACTGTCCTTTATTCTCTGTAGTGGATTTTAAGAAGGCATGCACTCTGTTATGAAACCCAGTCCCATTTTCCAATTTTTAAATTATTTAAGATAGGATCTGTTTCTGGCAATGCGAGTGCCCCAGACTTCTTTCCTACCTTCCCTTCCCTGGTTTATCCTCGGGCTCCATAAATGCCTTCATCTCTCTCCTCAGTTCTTCCGAGCCCCATAAAAGTGTCAGTAGCCCTGCCCAGGACCCCGTGTCATGCCGTGTTGCTGTGAACTTCCCAATTTTCATGTTATGTTACTTATCTGTCACTGTAGATCTGTTACATGAATTGCAGATATTTAAAGCAAATAAAACGGTTCTTTGGAATATAGTTAGAAAGCCTCAAAGCCTGTCATTTTAGCAAATGTTGTTGTCTGTATGTTTTTTTCCTGACAATAAATGTGATTTTGATTTATTTCCTGTAATTTTAAGAAAGTGTTAGAAATTGTGTAAATGCACTTTTTAGTAGTTTCAAGTAAAGTAGTTTCAATGTAGGTGTATGTATGCATACTTTTTTTCCATACATACAATGTATTGTGCAAAAAAATATTTTTCTAATGCTTCTGGATGTATCTTGGTACAGAATAAGTTGGTAGGTTTTGCAGATCTTAATAAAGAAATAGCAGTTGTAGTGTTAAAAGTATATATATTGTGTAATCACATAAAAGCGAGCAAAGGTAAAAATAAAAAAGGTAAAAGAAAAAAAGAAAAAATAAAATATTTTGAAGTATATTACTTAGTCATAGCCATTATGACAGCATTTATGAATTAATTTGTGTATTAAAAATTAAACACTTAGTAAACTTCATTCATAAGTACCTACTCAAAGCTCTCTAAATGATCTCTGTGATACTCACTGAGAACGTGACTGTTTATTCATAAGGGAAAAGGGATTTCAAATGTCTTCTCTATTTCTGTTTGCTGTAGTTCATAAAGTATGTGGGAGCAGACTCTTGTGAATTTGGGGGCATTGCACAATGCCAAGTACATCAGTGATAAACAATAACCTCTCTTTTTAATATTTTAGCCGAGCTGGGAGACTACAACCATTCAGAAAACTTGCCAGGCTACCTCTCAGACTATTCTTTCATCCCTAGCCAGCCTCAAGACTTTGAAAAAGAAATAGCAAAATTACATCAGCAGCACATGTAAGGATTTACAGCAGAAGATATTGACTGACTTTGTCAAATCCTGACTGCTGGTGCTGTGCTATTATATTTTTAAAAATGAGTATTTTATCTTAAAGGTTTCTGGGGTCTTTTTGTTGGTTTTTTGTTTGTTTTTTGTTTTTTTTAAGAGTACATTTAATGTGATTTTTTTTTTTTTTGGTAGATTGTCTGTATAATAAGTACCATTGATACTCTGCACAGATAAATTATCTATGACAATGGTAGGGGAAAATAAGTGAAAAAATGAATATGTTAAAAGTACATTGAAAATAGTATTTGTGTGTATTACATAGAATATTAATTTAGCGGGATATAATTTGAGTTTTTTTCAGTCTTTGAGAATGCTCTGTGCATAAAGGCTTTGTTTTCATGGTGCTCTCGCCAGTAAACAAGAGTTACTTTAGAAGTAACAAAGTCCTTTTCTTCAATATCTGCTCTTTCCTGTGTGCAAGTCTGTGACCTTTTACTAAAGAGGAAAAGGCGATGAAGCAATGGAAAATATTTTTTTTTCCAGTGTGTAACATTGTTGTACTTTTTTCAGTGATCTTTCGTTGGTATTTTAGAACTTCAGTGCTTTCTGTAACAGTTAAATTTAACAAAATGTAAACTATGTTTCCAAATACATTTGCTTAATTGGGGCATGTTGTTGGCTTTAGAAAATACTGAACATTATGTTACATTTCAGTCAATGGCTTAGCAAATTCTGATAAGCGTAGGGTAAAGAAAAGTGAGTTGATGGTAATTTAAACTTTAAGGGTGAGTTATCAACACAAAATACAGGACTATAAAAGTAATTTCCAGATTCTAGAGATCCACAGACATTAAAATGATGCAGTGCATTAGAAATAAAACGTGTGCATTTGCAAGCTGTGTTGTGGACTCTTGTCAAGACTTTGTCTATGTGGAAGCACAAGTATTTTTCTGTTAAATTTTTAGGGTTACAGTCTGTTTATGGTGAGAAAGGAAATTCAGATTTCAGGATGGGGGTAGAAGTAGTAAAACAAATGCAGATTTTCTGTTTGAGCTCAGTAGGGAGCCTGATGCAGGGGGTTGTGTTAGGATGTTTCTGATTTAGCTTCTTTTTTTCAGAGGGTTGTCTCCTGCAGAAGCGGAGTTCAATTATCTCAATACAGCACGTACCTTAGAACTTTATGGAGTTGAATTGCACTATGCAAGGGTGAGTTTGGCTGAAGTAGTAATTTAAAAATGGATTCCTCTGAGATTTATAGAAAAATATTTATTTATTTTTAGTGAGCCTTCCTGGCTGCTGCTTACAAGATAAAAAAAAAAAAAAAAAAAAAAAAAAAAAAAAAAAAGACAGTAATATTATCTTACTTGGTGCCTGTGATTTACCAATTTCAGTAGGTCCTGTTTCACTCTAGTGAGGTTATTTCTTTGCTTGAACTTGAGCTTAGTGTACATGTGTTATTCAGGTTGCGCCTTCTTGGCCTGAATGCCAGTTCAGTTGGCTACTGGTGAATAAGAAAAATGTACTTGTTGAATGCACTTTTGATATTTAAGGATCTGTCAGCTTTGAAGAATATTTCATTTGGTTCCAATTAGAACCAAATTATAAATAATTATCATGATGTAATATGAACTGTTAATGTAAGGTGAGCATACTATCACTTGCTTTAGAATCAGTTTTACCTTGTAAAGCAAGTAGCTTAAAGGTCTTGACTCAAATGATCTTAACCTGTCAGAACAGTGCTACCATTTCTGCAAAGCCTCTGAATATAATTATTTTCAGTAACTAACACACCTCTGTTTTTTAACTATTCTTGTCCTACTCCCTAAGATTAGAGAACCTTGCAATAGAATTTGAAATGTACCTCACTTCACTGCTCTCTGTGTCCGGCTGTTGTTGCACATGTATTGAGAGATCTGTAGCAGAGGTGTTTGATTAAAGTGCAAAGATATTTCAGGAGAAATGTGCTATTTAAATATGCTTACAATATTGTTTGTTTTAGAATCTCTGCTCTCTGTGTTCTGAGATTGCAATTTCCTTTCAGGTAGGAATTTCAGTTGCTGGTTGTTTTTAGTGTAGCAAACGTCAAGCCAGTCTCTTAGTGCTGTTATTTGTAATAAATTGCTAGAATACTCTGTATTGTATATTTCTTCGAAGCTGGTGAAAGACAGAAGTTCTAACTTAAGAAATTAAAATTCTGTGGTAGCTTATAAAGAACTTGGAGCAAACATTCAGGCTTGTCCTAAATAGGAATGAATAATTTAATTCTTACATGTCTTATTAAAACACATTTCCTTCCATGTTAATTGAGAACTGTTTTGCTTTGGTATTTGTGTATTTAGAGAGAGAGATGAAAATGAATGTATATGAGGTTTCAAAGATATTTATATTGTTCTTCAAGTCGTTTTCTCTTTTCTTTTAAAGGATCAGAGTAACAATGAAATAATGATTGGAGTGATGTCAGGTGGAATACTAATTTTTAAGAACAGAGTACGAATTAACACCTTTCAGTGGTAAGGACAGCTGTTTAAGCTAATGTTTTGTTTCGTATTTCAAAACTTATTTTTACCACTAGCAGCGTCACATGCTTTAAAAAAGACTGAAACTTAATTGTAGCATATCAAGTTGAAATGATTTACCTCATGCTGTGCTATGGGTAAATTTATGATGGGGTTTTGTCCTGTTCTGCATGCTGTGCTGTTAAATGATTATGGTGCAAACTATAATGAATTTTAATACATTTTTTTCTTCCAGAGTTTGTTAACTTACTTTATGTTTAATTAACCAGGGCCAGTGTTATGGTCCAGCTCACAGTCTTCAAAGAGACAACTGAACATAAAATATTAACTTGGAAAGTGATTGCTCTAATCAGTTTTGTCACATACAACTTACTTGAGCTGTGTGTGTTAAATGTAATGTAGGTTTGGTACTTGGGTACAACTGAGGTGGAGTGCTTCGGATACTGTCATCTCTTCATCCATAGATAACCATTTTCATGATAAGCATCAAAAAAAGTGTATTTATTGCAGAAGATGTAGTTATTTCTCCTCTTAAGTAAAATAGTTTTTAAAGCTGTTCTGTAAACGTGGAGTTATTCTCATTAAATAAGTTACTGTAGTTATCAGTCTTCTTAAGTTGTGATCCTGTTCTTATTTATTCATATAACAAGGGGAAAGAAGTAAGAGAAGTCCTTTTCTGCACTGTAACTTCTACAGTGCTCTATACAAGTACTCTGTAACTTTACGGAAGTTACATTACCTTCCCCAATGCTTTTTTTAGTTCCCTCAGAAGTAACCTTCTCTTGGTTTCCTTTGCTTACTTGGAATCTAATTTGGCAGCCTTACTTATTGCGTATGTTGTTGAGTATGCTGTAACATACTGCATTCTAAGTGGGTGAAGTGAACCATATAAAATTAGCATACTAGACATTAGTTTACCAGGCACTAGTTTTCACTCTAGAAAAATGATGAAAAGTTTTGCATTTTCATTTGCTGCTGATGTGTGTGCTTTGGCAGTGCAGCACTGGACTCTGGTTCTAAAGTTCTTGGCTGGTCTGTCATCTTCATATAAACAGATTCAATTGATTTCCAGTTTCAATTGTGGCAAAACTTTTCATAGAAACATAGAATCATAGAAGGGTTAGAGTTGGAAGGGCCCTTAAGGATCATCTAGTTCCAATTCCCCTGCCATGGGCAGGGACACCTCCCACTAGATCAGGTTGCTCAAAGTCCTGTCCAACCTGGCCTTGAACACCTGCAGGGAAGGGGCATCCACAACTTCTCGGGCAACCTATTCCAGTGTCTCACCACCCTCCCAGTAAATAGCGTCTTCCTAAGGTCTAATCTAAATCTGCCCTCTTTCAGTTTAAAACTGTTACCTCTCATCCTATCAGTACACTCCCTGACAAAGAGTCCCTCTCCTTCTCTCCTGTAGTCCCCCTTTAGGTACTGGAACAGCGTTATAAGGTCTTCCCAGAACCTTCTCCAGGCTGAACAACCCCAACTCTCACAGCCTGTGTTCATGGGAGAGCTGCTCCAGCTCTCTGATCATCATGGCCCACCTCTGTACTCACTCCAACAGGTCCGTGTCCTTCTTATGTTGGGGTCTCTAAAGCTGGACATATTAGTCCAGGTGAGGTCTCACGAGAGTGCAGCAGAGGGGGAGAATCTCCTCCCTTGACCTGCTGGCCATGCTTCTTTTGATGCAGCCCAGGATGCATTTCGCCTTCTGGGCTGCAAGTTCACATTGCCAGGCCACGCTGAGCTTCTTATCCACCAACACCTCCAAATCCTTCTCCTGAGGGCTGCTCTCCAGCCATTCTCTGCCCAACCTGTATTTAAGCTTGGGATTGCCTGGCCCATGTGCGGGACCTTGCCCTTGGCCTCATTGAGTTTCATGAGGTTTGCATGGGCCCACGTCTCAAGCCTTTCCAGGTCCTTCTGGATGGCATCCCTTCCCTCTAGCATGTCAACCGCTCCACACAGCTTGGTGTCATCTGGAGACTTGCTGAGGGTGCACTCAATCCCACTGTCCATGTCACAGCAAGTATGTTAAACAGCACCAGTCCCAGTACTGACCTCTGAGGAATGCCACTCGTCACTGGCCTACACTTGACCACTGAGCCATTGACTGCAACTCTTTGAGTGTGGCCATCCAGCCAATTCCTTATCCACCGAGTGGTCCATCTGTCAAATCCACGTCTCTCCAATTTAGAGACCAGGATGTTGTGTGGGACAGTGTCAAATGCTTTGCATAAGTCCAGGTAGATGAGTTTTGAAGTGTCAGAGCCATTTCTGGGTTAAGGCTGCTTTATAAATGCAATGCTGTAACAGTCAGGAAGGTTTTCATTCAGGCTGCTTTTACTGCTGTTATTTTTGGGAAAACAGTAATAGTAGAAATAGGGTCTATAAAACACACCAGTAAATTACTGAGTACGTACAAGTCATAAGTCATAATTAAGCTACATGTCCCTGCTGGAAGCTAGAGGTTTCTGTGAGCCCTGCTTCATATTGTTTGCATGCCAGGGATGCTGATCTGAATTCTTACTGTGGTTTCTGTGTGTGTGTGTAATTACCTAAACAGTTCTTCTTTGTATTCGACCATATCAGCTGACATCGGGGATATTAATTTCTTCCTGTGAAGATTGTAGTACTAACATAATTGATCTTCAAAAAAACCCCCAACAATCCACAGAGCTCCCCCTCGTTTCACCCTCTGATAGGCTTTATTTCACTGTGAGTAAGGATCTGAAATGTCCGTTCTCACAATACAACTCACTACTAGACCTATTACCTCTCCTTTTTATCCATAGTCATGCAGCTGCTCCAGTGATGCCAGAACTGATACTTTTTCTTCTTGCTTCCATGTATTCTTGCTCCTGTGCCACTGGAGCTGTGTAAAGACTTCCCAGAGCTTTGTGGGAAGAAATCAAGCTTTAACTGTATTACTCGGAGAAGAATCAAGTAAAATGTCTTTGCCCTCTCCCTTTTAATTTGATATTATATCTGAATTGCATATTAAGAACCTTAGGATCAGGGGGAGAAATGAAACAGGAGAGAGACAGGGCAGGAATAAGGGAAAACAAAGGAGACTGCCTTTTATCCAGTGCGTCCTAACTTGATCTTCCTGTATTGTGGGTAATTCCTCTTTTCCCCAAACAGTGCTAGCAGGCACAGAGACCTGGGAATCCAGGGAGTAGATCTTGTCCTTGAAGACCAAAGGAGAAGAGAATGGTGTACCTCAGCCTTTCCTTTGTTACTAGACCACCTGTTCAGCAGTGAAGACACACTTTCCTTTGCCTCTCTTTTGTGATCGTCTACCCCTGGAAGGCTTTGTTGCCTTTTGCGTTCATTGCCAGTTGTAACTGCAGTTGTGCTTTGGATTTCCTAGTTTTATTCCTGAGTGCCTAGGCGGTATTTTTGTGTTCCCCCTTGGCCGTCTGATCCTGCTTCCACATCCTGTACACTTCATTTTCTGTTTGAAATTCTGTTCAGCAATTCAAAGTTCATCCAAGTTGGCCTCCTCCCATGCTTGAATGTTTTCTAGCACATCAGGATTTTTCTGGATTGAGAACATCGTTTTCTAAGACTGCTCACATCTCCTCAGTTCCTGTGCCCCAAAAGGCAGCTTCCAAGGGATTTTGCCTTCCAGAGCTCTGTGCAAGCTGGAGTTTCTTCTCCTGAACTCCAGGGTTGTTTAGTCTGCTGCATCCCTCCTCACTTCCCTCAGGATCTTTAGCTTCACCATCTCCCAGCTGCTGGAGCCAAGTTTGACTACTAAATCTGGACAGTCCTTCCTTGTTTGTGAGTTGTGCTCCCATATTCCCTAGCTGGCCAGTCCAGAACCTGTGTCAAAGTCATCTTGGTCAAGAAATTTGCTGGGTTGCTTGCATCCTGGTACCACCATCCTGGCAAGGGTTGGGGTGATAAAGTCCGTAGTGAGAACTGGTGCTTGATGTCATGAGACTCTCTCCACATTAGAGTACAGTCCTCACTTTAGGCTAGGACTTTTAAATATCTCTTAATTTAAAAGATATATATTATGATTTAGGATGTCTGAGATGACTGGAGGCTGGAAAATCATACCTCAAAAATATTATTGATGGCTGCCTGTTCTTACCTTTTTCCTTGGATATGCACAATTGCTGACAGTCAGAGAAAGGAAACGTAGGCAGACATCCCTTTTGCTTTGGCCGAGGATGGATATTCTCATTTAATGACTAGCAGGGCATTAGCAGTGGATATTAACTCTCTTATCTGCTGTATTTTTTTTTAAATAGCTGAGATTGAGCTTTGCTGAGTCATTTCTTTGCACTTGAAAGGCGACTGTTAGGGGTTGAGTTAGACCTTATTGGCTGGTGTTTTTTGAGTCTGTTCCAAATGGTTTAAGGTTTAAGAGGCAGCTGACCTCTCTCTGCCTATATTATGGAGTGACATTAAAAACCAGTGTGTACAGCTTTCATCCATGTCATTCTCCTTGAGTCTGTAAGTCATCAAAGGCAGTAACTTTTTTTTTTTTGCAGAAGAGCGACAAAAAGAGTAAAAGGTAGTAGAATGTTTTTATAAATGGAATAATTTTCATTTATTTTCAGGTTTTCTGTTGGCATGCTAAGAAAATCTGATATGTTGTAGACTTCTGTTTTAGAAAACGTATATATAAAAATGTTCTTTCAATTGCCCCATACCCCAAAATTTTAGAAAACTAATAACATGTTTTCAGTTAACTGCAGCATAAATAGTCTAATATAACTTCTTTCTGTTTATTCCACAGTTTGAGTGCTATAATCGGTAGTGTCTATACTATCCAGCAAATTTAGGACCCATCCCAAATTATTCTTAAGCAATTGTTTGTCACAGGAGGTGCTAAGAAAATTGCTGCATTGCCAATGGAATGGCATAATGGAATAGTTTGATTTCAGTAGATAAATTGTGGCCCCCTTTAAAATTTCTAATCCTTGAGAAACTCACTTCAATAGCAACAATTTGTTAAGAATTGAAAAAAAAAACAAAACCCAAAACACATCAGGCCAGAGTTATAGCTGCTGCCTTTTTTTTTTTTTGGCAACTAATGGCAAAGCTAGGAAAGAAAAAAGAAATGGGAAAAGATTTAAGCAAAACTTAAAGGCTAATATTCACAGACTGGCTTCATGTTATTTGAGATAGAAACTCTCTCAACAAATTAGGACATCCAAGTGAGGTTCCTGCTCTGAATGATCCCCTGGAGAAAAAAGTCTTCATTTGATTTAGTTAAGATAATTTCTGTATATAGTTATCCAGCTTAAGTGTCTGTTAATATTTTGCTTCTCATCCTTCCTAGTCTAGAGGGTTTTTTATTCAACAAGGTGGTTAATATGCAGATAGTAATTCCAGTCATTATTGAGGTCCTTGTAAATTCTTCATGAATAAGTTTATCACAAAAATTGTAGCACTGTCTTCACTGATGTGGGTTTTTTTGTTTTGGGGTTTGTTTTTTTTGGGGGGGGGAGGTGTGGGTTGGTTGGTTGGTTTGGGTTTTTTTGTGGCCCCCTTTAAAATTTCTAATCCTTGAGAAACTCACTTCAATAGCAACAATTTGTTAAGAATTAAAAAAAAAAACAAAACCCAAAACACATCAGGCCAGAGTTATAGCTCCTGTTTTTTTTTTTTTTTGGCAACTAATGGCAAAGCTAGGAAAGAAAAAAGAAATGGGAAAAGATTTAAGCAAAACTTAAAGGCTAATATTCACAGACTGGCTTCATGTTATTTGAGATAGAAACTCTCTCAACAAATTAGGACATCCAAGTGAGGTTCCTGCTCTGAATGATCCCCTGGAGAAAAAAGTCTTCATTTGATTTAGTTAAGATAATTTCTGTATATAGTTATCCAGCTTAAGTGTCTGTTAATATTTTGCTTCTCATCCTTCCTAGTCTAGAGGGTTTTTTATTCAACAAGGTGGTTAATATGCAGATAGTAATTCCAGTCATTATTGAGGTCCTTGTAAATTCTTCATGAATAAGTTTATCACAAAAATTGTAGCACTGTCTTCACTGATGTGGGTTTTTTTGTTTTGGGGTTTGTTTTTTTTTGGGGGGGGAGGTGTGGGTTGGTTGGTTGGTTTGGGTTTTTTTTTTTTTGGCTTTATCAAGCCAATATAATGACTTGAAGTACAGGGATCATCAGAGATGACAGTTCAGATTAGTAAGGGTGCTCTGTATAAAAATGCTGTGTAAAGGGTTGATTGTAACCCCTGAAGAGTTTGCTGTGAAATTTCCTGCAAGTTAATTGTGTGATCTGGATTCTCTTTTGCTTTGAGTTTCGTAATTGTCAGTGAAATCTCCTTTGAGTGAGATAGCATTTGAATTTAGTGTTTTATCAGTATCGTATCAGTTGCTCCTCTTCAAAGTTACTGAACTTACTCTGTTTTTTCTTGTTCCAGTTGTAACCTTCCTTTTATTCTTGACCTAAATAATACTCCTGTATATTTAGTAACAATGTGCACTATTCTAATATTGCATTTCTTTGAAAAAGTATATCATTAGATTGTGATGGAAACACGCCCTGTCTTTTCCTATTTAATGTAACTAGCATTGCAGTGGCCATGCAAAATTGTCTGAAATTACTGTCAGTATCTCCTATGGTTATAGATAACCTGCAAGATTAAAAGATCTGTAGACTGATTTTTCCCTGTTGTGATATTTTAAATGTTTTTTTCCTTTTCATAGTGTGGCAATTGTTTTGTTGTATTTTGCTTATATGTTGTCTTAGCTGTTTTACTAAAACAAGTTCTGGTTGTATTTAAAGACATAGAGAAAGAATGGCTTTTAGGAATCGGGTGAAGTTCAAAGTATTTTTTCATATGCTAAGGGATAATGAAAGCAGTCTTAGAAAAGAGAACATCTGATTGGAATGACCTGGAGATAGAATAGGTCTTTACGCTTTGGGAACTGGGAAAAGATACTTAAATTAGCAACTGCCTTGGGTTTTGGACAGAAACCAGTGAATTTGATAGATAATTTAAATATACGGCTCATAAATTTCAAATTATACAAGCTATTTTGTGTTATCTTTGATATCTTATTTTGTGTCTATGGAAGTTTCATGGAAATGGAATGAAATCTCTCTCTCTCTCTAAGAAGCATATTTTCAGGAGATGTGTTTAAGCCTTTAACTGTGATCCAGTATACTAAGTGTTTAAATATTGTGATTTTATTTTTCTTTTAGGTTGAAGATTGTAAAAATTTCTTTTAAGTGCAAACAGTTTTTTATTCAACTTAGGAAAGAATTGGTGAGTACTGTCTTAAATTTCATCTCAAAAAATGAGAGCAGTGACATTTCTCCATACTGCACGTCTGCAATATACTGACTGATATTATGTTGATTCTTGCCTTCATCTGCAATTAAAAACCCAGTTTCACAAACAGTCTGGCTATTTTGGTTCTGAAAAGGGCCATTACAATGCTTTATAGGACTTTTTTTCATTTGATTTGCCTTATATTTTAGATACATTTAGTCTTACATTTGTGGGAGGGAAATGTAACCTGCTTATGGAAGAATTGAAAAGGTTGAAAGTAAATCAATATTAAATCTAAATTTCAGAATAAACTAAATTAATATTGAAGGTAATGCTTAATGGTGCATTAGTTGTATATGCGCTTGTAAGTAAATGTTTGATTAAGACATGCCAATTTGTATTACTCAGATTCAGTACTACAAGTTGGCTTTAATACTTACATTTACACAGAAGAGATAAGAAAGTCTTTGCCGTTTTAAAATACATATGATATTTTTTTTATGCCTACTTCTAAGTTTGTTGGGGAAAAAGTTTAACCTTTCTGTGAAGAATGTGTATGTTTCACTGCTTGTGGTGTGTGTTTGGTACCCTGTAAGGCACCATAGGACCACTGCATGTTTAATTCAGCAAGAAATGGATTGTTCCACACCTCCAAGAGATTAGTCTAAACCCATCACAGTCATATCACTAGGGAAAGATGGAGGAATTAATTAATAATACGACTATGATTTAACTTATCAGATCAGTTAGAAGGTTTTGTGCAGTTCTTACAGCTGAGAGGATTTGGAGGCCAGAAATGCAGTTACTGATTAGATAAAAAAGATGGATGCTAGGCAGGAAGGCATCCTGAGTACTATTGAACTATTCCAGATTTAGAGACAATGTGGTTAAACAAGAAAAATAGATGGAGGAAACACCTGTTGTGTCAGATCAGGCCAATGGCCGGTGACTAATACTAGTTCTGAAAACAAGAGCCAAACTGTGTATCTTAAAAGCTGATCCTTTAAAATGAGGCCCAGGAGTTTGCAAATTTCACAAATGGAACTACCTGTCCACATGCAGACACTTTGTTGTGTATTAGTTGACAGAAGTTTAACCTGTGTGCTTGGAGCAGTGTGAGTAGCTATCAGTTCAGAAGTGGGGTAACAGGAGTTAGAGGATTTGGGAGGAATTATGTGTAGAAATAAATTAACATTAGCTATTGCATGAAATAAACAGGAGTATCTGTCAACATGAGCAGACATCATGCACCGTGAGCAGAAAAATAGTAATGATCCGAAAGGGGGGAGGAAGATTTCCTAATCGTAACACTGCAGGAGCTGTAGGCTAAGTCTCAAAGGCAAACTGATCTCTGACAGCCCAGAGGTCAAATTTTGTCTTCATATCAGTGTGTGTAACTTCCAGTACAGTTGCAGGCAATGTGTTTAGATGTGAGATGAGAATTTGGGGTTTTATTTGGAATTCAGAAATTATGAACTATGTTTTCTAAATCAGAACTTGAGGAAAAGGCTGTAATAGCAGAGTTTGGGACCTTGAAGATTGAGATACCTAAATACAAAATTGGATTGAGTACTGTACTTGAGTGTTTTCTGTATTCTCTGCAGGAAAAAAAAAATATCTACATATAATTGAGGTTAATAGAAATATAGCTTTCTCATCTTGTTTTTTTTTCCCTGTTTCTTTTTAATACTCTGCATATTGTTACTTGCACCGGAATGTAGTATATGTAACTAATGTAATTTCTCTTCTGAGACATCTTATCCAAGCCAACAAATTTAAAAGCCTTGTACTGTTTTTCTTTAAACTCTATGTATCAGATGAAAACTGGTGGCAAGAACTTCATTTTCATTCATTCCAAGTCATGAATATCTTAAGATCAAAGCTCAAATTTGCCTTCCAAAGAAGGCATACTTAAACTCATTTTTTAATCAAACCTAATATTAAAATTATTTTCAGAGTTACTTTCCCTGAGTAGACTTGTAGGATAAGATTCATCTCACCTACATTCAGCTTCAGTTAGATTAAAAGAACATGTTTTCTGTTTCATGGTAATTAGCTAACCAAAGCTAATCATTAGACTTCCTCCAATAGTAACAAGACACGTGCAAAGGGTGAAAGATCTTGCATGAATTGGAAGCACATTTTAGGATGGATTAAGTTGCTCTTTGTTGATATATGCTTACTTTTGCTGTCACTCCCATTAACAATAAAAGGAGCCTAAATGGCTCTTTTTCAGCAGCAGAAACTAGGTGAGGTGACTCAGTGATTGTATGTTTGGTATGTAAAATATCTCTGCTCTAGTGCTTTGAGTGTATATTTAAAAGCACCAATTTATGATATGGCAGTGAAAATACATTCATGGTATGCTGATGATGTGTTTCAAAGTCCTGTGTAAATATATAACAAATAGTACAGCTGAGTAACCCTATTTATTCAGATGTAAAGCTGAGATGCTATAGGATATTAAATTAGTGGTCTTGGAAGAAGAATTTTCCAGTGTATTTATTTTTTCCAAGCTGGGCTATATATGCTTTTAAGTAGTTCGAAACAGATATTTTTCAAATAGTGCTTGTGAGTGTTGAGAGCTTTTAATTGCAACTGTCCTCAAAAGTTCAAGTGCCTTATCTTTTAATCGCCTATTAAATTTATTCCCTTACTTGCCATTGCTTAGAGGCATCAACATAAGTAAAGGATTATTTGCCTACTTTCAGTAGATTATATCTGTGTTTAAATAAATCACTTAAAGGAAGTCAGATGGAGCAGTTTAACGTCAAAGTCATTTTCCACTGGTAGCATAATATAATCTCGAATAGAAGCTGGTTGTGAATTCTGACAATGACACAGCTGGAGCATGCATCCACTGGAGTAGATTTTCTTTCCATTGTTTCTTTATGATTTTGTGGGGGGAAAAGAATATTATATGTATGACTTCTTCATCTGACGTTAGAAGCTCCCAGAGCCGTAGCTTCAACGGTGGTTTTTTTCACCATATTTTTTTTATTTCACATGCTGCTTCCCTTACACGCTTTGAAGCTGTTTGAGAACAATTCAGTAGTTTCGTTTTTCTAGATGTTTCCCTGAGCTTCTCTGGTTTTAGTTAGTTGTACCCTTGGCTGCTGTAGTGTCAATAGCATCAAACTCTTCATGCTGTCCAGCATAGTTTAGTGGTCTTGATTCTTTGACAGGCAAATAAACTGTTCAGCATGTTCTTTTGCTCTTTTTGGGCACAGATTTCCACTGAAAAATTACTTGAGTCTATAAAAAACCAATATGATAGGTTTTGTCCATGACTAAGACCTGGTTTCAGTGAGTGACCAAAATGAATATTTTTATTTTTTTTTTAATTATAGGTTATGTATCTGAGGTTTGTGCTTTGAATTTTTTCTTCTTACAGACTTTTAGAAAAACTGGGGCTAGAATCACAAGGTGGTGTATGGGCTTACCTGCCTAAGCACATACTTGATCTTAAGTAATGCTGCCATTCGTTAAATGACTGGATGATTGTTGCCTGATCCTATCAAAGTTTCTGCTGTTGTTTTTTTTGTGGGAAGAGCAGATACTGTTGGCACAGTCTGTGTTGCATTTAGGCTTTCACATGACTTTTGTCCACTGTTTGTGGAATATCTTGAGTCTCTGAAGCATCTGCAGCTTAGAAAGTGCAAGTCTTTTTGTCTCTCTCAGAGATGGGGGTAGGGAGTATTTGCTTTGTTCTGGGATTTTTCTTTGTTTCTCACTTTAGGAAAAGTGAGAGAAACCCACTAGAGCATATGGTTTTCAGTCCAGTTTTTCTGAGAACAAGAGATCTGCTCTGAAATCTCTTGTTTCAAGTCAGGCAAAGGTGGATTTGAATGAATGTCCCCACCCAAGTTGAATGTTCAAGGGCTGAGCTGTTGTATTTTCAAGGGCCACCAATATCCATTCTCCTTTTTTTTTTGGTTTTGTCTTTTTAATAAAAGCAACCACAAACATGAATTAGACTTTACTTTGCCCTGTCCCTCCAATCCCTTCTTGGATTTTATAGGTAGCCTGCCACATAGTGTACATTTGTAAGGTTAGGATTTAAATTAAGTTACATGGTGATATTTGGTTTACTTAGAGTTTCACCCTTGGGCCCTGAGCCTCGTCACTGGTATTGCATTCCAGCTGCTTCACTCTTCTCCCCCTCCAAGCAGACTGTTTTCTTTTCTCTAATAGGATTCATGGACACAATTAGTAAGACAGTCATTTCAGAGCAGAATCCAACTGTGACTCCCTGAGGCTTTCTTTTAACACTCTCAACAGAGCTAAAACCCTGAAATACCTGTACGTTGTACCATAGAGCAATCAGCATCTTCCTGGAGCCTTGTGCTATAAAACATTCTCATAGGCTGCAGTATAAATGTCCTGTTATTTTATGTGCTTTTGGCTGAAGTGTTATAAATGTTTCCTAGGGTTCTCAATGCCAAGCCCACGTTGATTCAAGCCTACTATTTTCAGGGAAAACAGGGGCAATCTTATTCTAAATCCAGCTACCAGACAGCAGCAGAACCAGGGTTTGCACCCCAGAGTCATCAGCAAAGATTAATTTCAAGGGCCCAACTTAGGTTTGGATATTACAGAACCTGCAGGGGTGGATAGGGAAAGGACAGGTGCACTCAGGAGCCAATATCTTATACTCTTCTTTACCTTAAAAATTGATTCTAGCTGTAATTGAGATGAAAGGTAGAGTTTGGGAATCAGTTCTCTCTGCACTGCAATGAAAGCCTTAAAAGCTATGAATAGAACTATTGTTAAGGTACCTTTAAAGCTCTAACACACCAAGTTCCTGTGAAAGTGCTGTTTGGCATTACAATTAAGCTGATCTAGCTACAGCTCCTCATGCTTAGATACCAGCTCCTCTTTCATGCTTCATGCCTGATCTAGTGATCAGATGGTGGCATAAGAATGGGATCATCTCATTCTCTGGAATACAAACTGGGGGGAAACGACAGGGTGGCTTAGATACCAGCTCCTCTTTCATGCTTCATTCCTGATCTAGTCATCAGATGGTGGCATAAGAATGGGATCAGCTCATTCTCTGGAATACACACTGGGGGGAAACGACAGGGTATTTTTTTTCCCCACCAACCCACAATTATAATGCTTTGAGTGACATAAAAATGCGCGGGGGGAAACGACAGGGTGGTTTTTTTTCCCCACCAACCCACAATTATAATGCTCTGAGTGACATGAAAATGCATGATCATCAGCTCATACAACTTGTCAATTTCTCTTTCCCAACAGTGTAAAAGGCTGAGAGAGCATTAAAATTTGCTACATCATGAGAACTTTTTGCTGGATTCTGAAATCTTAGCTGGTTTGTCTTTTACTGGATCCAGATGAGGCAGTCCATATTTTGACGTAGTTGCTCTCTTTCAGAATAGTGATGTTTCTTGTTTCTATTATTGTGCATTTACATTTTTGATAAAGCCTTTTTAAACTGAATGGGTAATGGACTTAGTTTCTGTTACCTTCTTTGTGACTTTTAATTTTTAAGTACTTCTGTTAACATGTCTTGAAAATACAGGGAACAGTTGGCAATTCTTGGAAATTAGGAAAAAAGAGAAGTAATTTTTATAAATTGAAGTAAAAGATCAGGTTTTAGCTTTTGCAAATAATTTCATCAATAGATGCTCAGAGTTTGCTGTTTACTTTTAAATTCACTTTATTCTTTACCCTAAATTCATCTTGTGGCTGAAATTACAGTGTCGTTCTTAGCTGTTAGACACCTTCCCAAATACAACACTGAGAGAGGAGTTGCAGGTCTATGCCCCAGTATACAGGGAACAGTTGGCAATTCTTGGAAATTAAGAAAAGAGATATAAGTAATTTTTATAAATTGAAGTAAAATATCAGGTTTTAGCTTTTTGCATACAGGGAACAGTTGGCAATTCTTGGAAATTAGGAAAAAAGAGAAGTAATTTTTATAAATTGAAGTAAAAGATCAGGTTTTAGCTTTTGCAAATAATTTCATCAATAGATGCTCAGAGTTTGCTGTTTACTTTTAAATTCACTTTATTCTTTACCCTAAATTCATCTTGTGGCTGAAATTACAGTGTCGTTCTTAGCTGTTAGACACCTTCCCAAATACAACACTGAGAGAGGAGTTGCAGGTCTATGCCCCAGTATCTCTGCAGATCTAAAGATGAGCTGGCCAGCAAAAACTTAACTTGGAAAAGGAGTTTACTGCTAAGTGAAAACAGCTAAGGAGTTGGGGAGGATTTAGTACTGTGAAGAGAAAGCAAAGTGCTGATGATGTTTTCTTACCTACAAAGGTTGTAATCAAGCTCCCTCAACAGGCAGAATAGCTTAGCTTGCTTTGCAATTTTGCTTCTTTCCTTCACCAGGAAACTAATTAATCAGTTAGAAGTAGATACATCAGTTGCTCTTGAGATCAATACCTGTTCCCAATCTCTGATTGGCACATGTGCATGACTGTTCCTTGTCTTAATTGTATTAATCTTGAAAGAGGGAGGCGTGTTGCCTTTGAGTTCTCAAATCACAGAAATTTTTAATGTAGCTTGAGTGCTACCTTATGGGACCATTTCTTCCCATCTAGGCTTATTTCAGTATCACTAAACAGACTGTTAACCTTTGAGCAGGCTCATTTTAAAAAAAGGGGAGGGAGGGGGAAATCTTTAAAGAAAATTTAAGACGTATTGTAAAAGGGTTTACAATACATAAATTTAATGTAAAATTAGAGAACCACTTCTAAAAGCATAATTAAAAACATGCTAACAGTATTTCTCTTAATTTCAAAAGTAACTGGGAATAATTTTTATCTGAAATAATTTTTTCTTATTTTTAGCATGAATCTAGAGAAACGTTACTGGGATTCAATATGGTGAATTACCGAGCATGTAAGAATTTGTGGAAAGCTTGTGTTGAACATCACACGTTCTTCCGTTTGGACAGACCGCTCCCCCCTCAGAAGAACTTTTTTGCACATTATTTCACTTTGGGTTCCAAGTTCCGGTACTGGTAAGTGCTGATTTGAAACGTATGGGAAGGAACATAGAAGAACAGGCAAATCATCAATGAACATAGGTAGCTATTTAGAATCTATATTTAAAAGGTGCCATAATTCAATTAGCATTTGAATCCTGCAACTGTTCCCCTTCCCTGTTGACCTAAATTTCAAATGGTGTCAGTAATTTTCTAGGATATTTTGGGCATATAATTGATGCATTATTAGTGGTCATTGTTGAGCTTGTACTCTGAGACTGTCTCTCAGGCTGCATTTCTTTACCTGCTTACCTGCTGCATTATGTTTATCTTAAAAATGTTGTCTCGGAACTTCAAAGTCTTTGGCCTGATGTTTTTGAAAACTGATGGTCCTCAGATCTTGTGTGCAGCTACAGCAACAAACCAGACCTAAATAAAGATCAAGTAGAAATCAATGAAATGAAGCTTGTACAAGTGTGAAGCCCACTTAAGCTAGATGCATACAAATAGGCAACTAGGTGAAGACAAAAGACATACATGTTCTGCACCAAAACCAGAAGTTTAGAAAATATGGATGAAATTAAGTCCATAACTTTTAAGAACAAACTTGACATAATAGGCAAAATCTTGGAGATGCAAAGAATACTGTAGAATAACTGTAATCCCCAAGTATAATTTCTGTTCTAATGGTGGAGTGGGTGGTGTCGCTTTTTAAAGTGTTTTATGCTTTTTATAAAAAAACCCAAACTTCTCAGTTCAGTAAGTGAGTTAAATGTCTCTGCAAGTAATGCAGAATGCTGATGGTTTCAATCATGCCTGGCGTAGAGTATAATGGAGCTACTACTAATCATCCCTCTAGAATGGCAACAGTGTCTGTGACGTACAAAGGGAGATGATGAAAAGCTAGAAAACACAATAACAGACTATTTCTGTTACACTTGTGAATTGCATAAATGTATGAAGGGGAAAGTAATTCAGTGGCTAAATTTTTATACCATCTGGTTTTTTTGACCAGCATTCACAGCACCCATTTGAGAAACAGCGTTCTGTGATCCTGAACAGTGTTTGAGACTTGCTTCAATGTTATTGTAGTGAATTTGAGGCAGCTTTTTCATTTCTGTAAAGATTTTGAATTCGAATCGCTGTGGTTACTATTACAGAATAGCTGTTTGATGATGACATTCAACTTATGTTAATGTAAGATGAAAAAGGGAAGCTGCATAAAAATGAAGAAGGTCATTAAAGTCAATGAAGCAGCCAAAAGGCTAGAATTTCTGCAAGTAGCTTGAGAGCTGTTTAGAGGCAGCAGCACAGTAGTTCCAGGACACACAAGGAGAGGTTAAGGGCACTGGGCTCATTTAATCTGGTGAAGAGGAAGCTAAGGGGGAATTTAGTAACAAGCCTAAAGCTACTTCAAGGGCGTTTTCAAAAATGATGGAGCCAAACTAGTGCTGGTAATGGCAGGTGGTAGAATAAGGGGCAACAGCCACATATTTCACCTTGAAGATTCTATCTGGACATCAGGAAAAGTTTTGGGGTTTTTGTTTTTTCTAGGAAAGTAGTGCGTTATTGGAACAAGTTACCCAGGGAGGTTGTGGGATCTCTATTTTTGGAGGCTTTCAAAACTTGGCTAGACAAAGCCATTGACAGACATGGTCTAGTGTTAGCAGGAAATTGGACTAGAGACTTTCAGCCAACATTTCTGTGATTAAAACGAACTAATAAAATACTAAAGTGCCAGGGCTAGACAGAATTCTCTCCACTTCTGAAAGAAATCAGAGACATGAAATTGTTGAATTATTAAATGTGTTATGTAATCTGTTAGTTCCATTGGACTAAAAGATTCTAATGGAGCAAATTTTTTTTTTAAACAAAACCAAAAAAGGTTCCAGGAGGGATCAAGAAAACTAATGTTGAGAAAATCTGACTTCTGTACACTGTCCTTGGATTTTTAAAGTGGTTCTAATCGTGTTCATCACTAAATACTCATTAAAGAAGTAAAACTGCCAAAATATGAAGAGTTCTAGTGTATTAGCGACTACTTTAACCAGATGGGAAACAAGTAGGTCCCTTCTTCACAACAAAGAGAAGTTACCACTGAAGTGATACAGGTTTTTGTACTAAAAGCTGAAGTTGGCTGGAGAAAGTTTCGGTGGTATGTTGCAATGATGTGTGAGCAGGCAATAAAATGGTAGGTTGAGTTCTGTGTCCAAAAATGCAAAATAATCTACGCAGGGAGAAAAAAAGAGGAGGAACATAAATAAGCTATTACTGTCCTGGAGCTTTGTTGTTAGTTCTCTGAAAACATTAATTATTAGTAGCTGTTAGAGAAAGGCAAATACAACGTTAGAGTTACTGGAAAGGAACAGGGGGAAATGTGGACGGCTTACTGCTTGTCAGAGTTAAAAATGTAACTCCAGGAAGTCAGCAGGCAGCATGTTTGAAGAGAGAGATTTCTTAGAATCGCAGCGTGGCAGAAGTTGGAAGGCAGCTCGGGACGCTCGTCTAGTCCAGTGCCCTGTTCAAACGGGGTCCACTATCGCAGGCTGCCCGGGACTGTGTCCAGCCAGGTTTTGAACATCACCAAGGATGGAAACTCCACACCATCTCTGAGCAACCTGAGCCAGTGTTTGACCACCTTCGCAGTAAAAGAAGTTTTCTTGTGTTGTGTGGGGTTTTTTGTTGTTGTTTTTCCCCCACTCTGTTTAAGTAGGATATCTCGTATTTCAGTTTGTGCCCATTCCTGTCTCTGGGCTCCCTTGAGAAGAGTCTGGCTGTTTTTTGTACTTCCCCATCAGGCATTTATATGCACTCGTTTGATCCCCCTGAGCCTTCTCTTCCTAAGGCTGACAACAGTCCCAGCTCTCTGTCTCTCCTCATACCTCAGATGCTCCAGACCCTTAATTGCCTTCATGGTCCTGTGTTTGAGTTAGGGGGCCCCTTTGACTTGGGGGCCCCTAGAACTTGACACAGCACTGCAGATCTTGTCTCCCCAGAGTTGAGTAAACCTGCTTTCCAGGCAGTTGGCCCTCAGCCTGTGTGTGGGGTTATTCTTCCCCAGGTGCAGGGCTTTGCATTTCCCTTTGCTGAATTTTGTGAGATTCCAGTTGGGCCATTTCTGCAGCCTTCACACATCCAGTAGTTCTGTGAAATTAATGTGAAAATAGTAAAGCATTCTTTGATTTCAGAGTGTGAAAGTCCCTTTAAGTGTCGTGGTTTGGGCTGGGCACCAAACAAATGACAGATTTGTTATTTCAGAGAATGCAGTTAGTTAGAAGAGACAACTAAAAAAGTAAAATTACTGAAAAGAAAATTGGTTCTGTTTTACCTTAAATAGGCAAGTGAAGGACAGAAAAGAGCAGAGTTTTAAATATCAGTATCATTTTAGGACATGTGGACTCTAACTCTGTGCCTTGGTATGAAGTTACAAAAAGAGGGAGTTTTGCTAGTATCTTGCCACCAATTTTTAACTGCTGATAGACACTCAAAAAAAAAAAGGTATTTTTTTTTAAAAAAACAGGCATTATGAGATAGTATAAAGGATCTTTGATTTGACACAAGACATCTGGTCCTATGTGAAAAGTCAGCAAGTTCCAAGTTCTAATCTTGGTTTTGACAAGTTACATAGAAGAATTCAATCCTGATGTGCTTATCATTTGATTTCTTCATGATATTTTGCTGAACTCAGTAGCGACTAAGTTATTAGCAATTCAGGGAATAGTTTAGGAGGAGTACGGAGGAGGTGCTGTAACCTTTGATTGTGGCTATGACAGGAAAGGTTATAGTGTGGTTATTCAAGGATCCAAGCAGAACTTTCTTATTGCTTTGGCTAAGAAGAAAAAGGAAGAGAAGAGAAAGCTTTATGTAATTATACTCTAATGGGAAAGATGACCTACGCCTACCCAAATGCTGTGTAAAGTTACACTGTACTGAAGGTAGCACAATTGCTTGATCGTGAATTTTGGGTTTTTTTGTTGAGATGGTTGAATTTGAAGCAAGAAATTGTTATCCTAAGTTTGTTGCATTTAGTGGTTTGCTTCTGGTTTTTTTTTTCTTTCCAGTGGGAGAACAGAGGTCCAGTCTGTGCAGTATGGTAAAGAAAGAGCAAACAAAGACAGGGTGTTTGCAAGGTAAGCAGTTTACATTTGTACAGGATCAGTAAGTCTCCTGTTTGTGTCTTTTAATATGTTATGGGATCATTGTTTTCTGTTTGCAAACATGTAAAATAAAGAGCAACTGTTGTCAACTGTTGCTGGTGCCTTGACTCAACCATATTAAGGAGTTTAATTTTGATATGGGAGGCTGTGTCTTTGAAGCAGCCAGAAATGGCAGAGAATCTTAGGATAGAAAAGTTAATAAGGGTATTCTTTAATATTTCCCCCTTCATATATTTTAAAAATTCAGGGTTGCCTTCCATCTGTGCAGTTTGCTGTTACATGTACTAGCCCTCTTTGTGCTGTCTATTGCAAGGAATGGCCTCTTTAGCTCTCCCATTACAATATTGAGTTACTGGTTGTGTTTTATCCCTGATAACAACCTACAACTGTACACACGTTGCCATTAGAATAAGGTACTGAATGTCTGATTTGGTGGGAACAGCTTTATCATCCCTATAGTCCCAGTGGGGTATTTTATTATGAAAAGGGAGTGAGCTGTTTCTGAAGGTATTCTGTCACAGAGTCGTTGGCGAATCATAGAACCTATTACTTAATTGTGTTTCAGATTCCTGAGGGGTTTAGTGATTACAAGAAAACAGTCAAGACTTAGATTTAGTTCTTCGTTCAGAAATTATGATACACTATTCAAAACTCAAACTGCTGCTGCATCCCTTTAGATCATTATTAAAAAGGATCCTCATGAGCAGGGAGCATGCTCCAAGGTTTTTTTTATCCTTATACTTTTACTGAGATGGTGAATGTCTTTTAGCATAGTTAACCCTTAAGGAACTCTGGAATTCAAATTTATGCTCGCAGACTTCTAGTAACAAAAACAGTTTAGTTAACACTGTTTTTCAGAGCATTGGTGAATTCTGTCTTGATTTCCTGCCCTTCCCCATCCACCCCCCCTCCCCCTTCTTTCCCCCATACAATATAACATAATTTGATTTTTTAGCTGATCACACTGTAAATACCCAGCTCCGTATTAGAATGGTTTGAGGGCAGAAGTACTGTGACATGTTTGTTCAACAGGTAGATTCTTTTGAAAACCAGTTTGTTCTGTGTGCTATAGAATTGGATCTTTTTACTCTATTTAGTTTACTTTGGGAGTCTGGTTAGATTTTTACTTGTCACAACACTGTGACAACTGAGTTTTATTTATTTAAATGACAGTTATGAGTCAGTTAAAAATTATTTTTTTTTTGTTGCACTCTGAACTTGGCAGTTTCCCACAAGTAAGTGTGGTGGAGGAGAGTCGATACTTGGTCTTGAGGAGGATACTTATCATTTTAGAAACTCTTATTCAGTAGATGGCACTCTTCCCTTTGAGTCAAAATTGAACAAGTGGTTCTGGGGTCACTTGTATTTTGTAATATATACTCTGGATAAAATTGACAGCCATGGTAGCCATGGCTTGCTCTGATGTTTTCTCAAGTCTTTCTGGCTTTTTTTAGCTAATAAAATACTTAGGTCTTCTGTCATCAGTAATTTTATTTTGCACTGTTGCTTTTAGATTAAGGAATACAGCATTCATCCTCACCTTTTGAGTTACTTAGTAATGTTGATGACTGATAAATGTCTGAGGCAAATATGTGTATGTCAGTGAACTGAAATTAATGGCCTATTGTAACAAATACACCTTGAAAAGCTTTTAATAGATCATCTGTTTCTTAGTTTGTCCTCCCTATCACAGTGTGCAATCAATCTATTTTCAATTTTGAAGACCTTTTTAGTGTTTTCAAGGGTGAAAAAATTTGAAATATAAGACGTTTCTAGAACACTATGAGCTTCAGGAAGGTTAACCGAAGAACATTATAGTTAATTCATTGTCTTCTAAACATTTATATTTCAAGTTGAAATACAGAGTAGATGTATTCATACAGAGGATGAATTTTACTTTTTAAGGTTTTACAGGTAGAACGTGGTTTTTGTTCCTGGAACCTGTATTTCTCTTTCTCAGCATGTCTTTCTCAGACAAAGTCGGTGTGTTGTTGAAAAGCTTTTTAAGCTCTCAATCGGGGGGCTTGTTTCAGTTGCTTTTGAAAGTTCTGGTGGGTATCAGTTGCCTTTTGTTCTGAAACCAGGAACATGCTAGCATTACAGTAAGGTCTTTCTTGAGAATTAAGTGGACACACAAAAAACCTTAAATAATTACTGTTGCTTTCATTATTACCACATCAGAAGATTTATTCAAGATCAGTTACCAAAAAAAAAAAAAAGTTTTCAGGTCTTTTTTCTAGAACTATTCAAATTTACATTGTTTTCTTATCAGTGTCTAACTAGAAACCGCCTTATTTGAGCTAACACTACCTAAGCAAATTTTGAGTCATTTCATTTTAAGAAAATAACACTGATAAGCTATCAGTGTTATTTTCTTAAAATGAAATTATTCAAAACATTGAGATGTTTTGAGTGATCTATTTGTTCTAAATTGGGGACTGGTGATTGCCACAAATACTGATCATCTGGTCTTTGCAAACTGAGGAGAACACAGATACAAAGCACAAAGCATGGAAATAAAATTTCTCAACAGACAGGTGAATAAAACAAGCAGCCTACAATTAGCAGGCTTAGCTGTTTGTCCTTAGGTTTTTACTTTAAAATTAGCTCAAATAGTATTCAGGGATTATTTTTTTTCCCCCAAATCATAAAAACATTTAAATATTAATTTTAAATAATGGAATCTATTACTATGAAGGAGATAGTCTGTAATAAATTTGATACATTTTGTAGATGCTGTTTTCTTATCATCATGCAGCACTAACCAGCATTTAAAAGACTGTTGCTGCAGTTGTTTAGGTATTTTTTTATCCATTTTCATTATAGCTATTCTCTTGGCCTCATTTGTTGCAGGATATTCACAACCCAAGAAAGACCCATAAGAATTCCCAGGAGCATAATAAAAGTGAAAGTAGATAATAAAAGTGAAAAAAGTTTGATCAAGTTGTCAGTTGAGAGATTTCTTAAAGAGCACTGTTGTCTCTTAGAGCCCTTGCAAATAGTCTGATTCAGTCCATTTCTGCTGGTGTGTACTGGAGCCGAGACAAGGTAGTTGGTGTGCATTGTGTGATAGTGAGCAGGTATCTCAGTCCATCATTTGTATTTGCAAACTCCCTATCATTAAGTTGCAATCTCTCAACAGACAGGTGAATAAAACAAGCAGCCTACAATTAGCAGGCTTAGCTGTTTGTCCTTAGGTTTTTACTTTAAAATTAGCTCAAATAGTATTCAGGGATTATTTTTTTTCCCCCAAATCATAAAAACATTTAAATATTAATTTTAAATAATGGAATCTATTACTATGAAGGAGATAGTCTGTAATAAATTTGATACATTTTGTAGATGCTGTTTTCTTATCATCATGCAGCACTAACCAGCATTTAAAAGACTGTTGCTGCAGTTGTTTAGGTATTTTTTTATCCATTTTCATTATAGCTATTCTCTTGGCCTCATTTGTTGCAGGATATTCACAACCCAAGAAAGACCCATAAGAATTCCCAGGAGCATAATAAAAGTGAAAGTAGATAATAAAAGTGAAAAAAGTTTGATCAAGTTGTCAGTTGAGAGATTTCTTAAAGAGCACTGTTGTCTCTTAGAGCCCTTGCAAATAGTCTGATTCAGTCCATTTCTGCTGGTGTGTACTGGAGCCGAGACAAGGTAGTTGGTGTGCATTGTGTGATAGTGAGCAGGTATCTCAGTCCATCATTTGTATTTGCAAATTCCCTATCATTAAGTTGCAATCTCTGTTTCCAAAACCTAATTTTGCTTCAACCGTGCATTTATTCAGGTTAATGAAATAATTCCTCAGTTGCTTTAAATTGTGATGTAGTCATTTGTGATGTAGCTGCAGATTTGTGTACAGGTTTGTCTCTTGGTCTGAAGCAGTAGTTGCCAGTTTTGCTGAGAAACGCATTCCCTGTACTCCTTGTCAAAATACAAAGCAAGGCTGAGGCTGCAGGTTTTATTTCTTTTTGGGACAGAAATGATTTTAAAGATTCCCACCTGTATTCCCAAACAATGCCCTCTTTCTTTCCCAGCTCCTGTGAGAATTTAGCACTTCAGGTGTGGGACGCAAAACAAGTTCTGTCTTTGAAAGCTTTTGTGCACTGTAGCTGAGCTAATGTAATTTGTCGTGCTTTTTTCTAGTTGCATGATGTAATTTCATGCCTACTTGTTTTTTTGTCTTTGATGTATCACAGCTTGTAAGACTGTTCTTCATTTTGGGGGCAGGTAAAGTTTTCAGTCTCTGTTCCCACTCAGGTAGAGAGGAATTCCAGCTTTTCAGAAATGTCTCTGCAGATATACAAAAATTAATCTAAAAATAGTTTGGTCTGTTAACCAGCAGTGCCCTGTGCTGGAGTGCAGTGGAAGCATCCAGACTGAGCAGACAAACATGGAATTTAGGATTTCAAAGTTCATCAAAGCATTTCAAAAGTTTTTCACAGCTTGCTTCCCCCTCCCATCTCCAGCTGCACTCTGGCATGAGAAAGTTATTTGAATATTGTAAAGAATTAGTGACAGAGGAGAAATTTGCAGGAATATTTCAGTACATATCTTAAATGTTCATAAAAAAAATAACTTCTTGTTAGATTTAGAAGTGTTGGCAGGAGAACTATCAAAAAGCCACAGCACTGAGAAGTTCAGTGCTACAGTGTGGTAATTTTTTCTTTGAAATTTCTGCAAAGACAGGAAATGGAGGCAACAAACATGAGTGGGTGGGACTCTGAGGTTAGAGCTGTTAATAAAATAATTGAAACGAACCTTTGCTGATAAACGCTGCAGCTGTTTATCATGGTAGTAAGGTGTTATTTCTGAAAGATCAGACCCTATCCACAGTAAAAGGTGAGTTTTCTTAACATGGGGTTTTTTTGATAGGGAAGAAGGTGATGCTTTTCTCATTTTAGAGTTGTTTCATTCGTTGCATAGATTGAGGAAGTTTTCAAAAATGTAGTTACAAATTATGACTTAAGATACAATGCAGTGGGGGTTTTTTTGAAGCAGTCAAAAAATGTGATTTTTGGAAAAACTTAGGTTTTTACCTCTCAAGAGGTAAAAACCTATGTGCTTTTGTCTCTCTCTGTAATTTAATTTTTCACTGTTGTTGCGCATTTAAAAAGAAAACAAAAACAAACCGACAACCAATCATCAATATTTCTATATTCCACTTGTTGCTTTTTCACTGAAGGTGAATAAGGTTCAATAGCTGCCTTTAGGTGTGTGACAGAAAACATTATATCTGCAGTCCTGTGTTTACCTAATTTAGCATTGCATGTATTATGTTCCTCTGCAGCCTGTTCTTTGGTTGGTAGAAACCACCTCTTGGCAGAGCTGCCTTGGAGTGCTCGTCTGCTGGCTGCAAACGTGCTGTCAACAAAGTCTAGCTATTGATAGCTTTGATTAATAAAAGAATAATGAGCGGATGACATGAGACACACATTTCAGTTCTGCTGATTTCTTGTTATTTTACCTGTTCGGAACTGCTCAAATTTGCTGTTTGTGAAGAAGAATATCTGAAGTGGTTTGTGTTGCTCACAGCTGAAGCAAATTACAGAAATTGAAATGTTGGTTTAAATTGACGTTGACATATCAAGCTAATTACTTTCTGAATCAAATTAATATTGCTTAAATGCATGCTAAGAAACTGGATGTGTTTTTCTTCAGGAATAAAGTAATTGATATTTTCCCTGTTTTCAAATATCAATATACTATTAGTTTTTTTTCACAGGTGGAATAAGACCTGAGACAGTAGTATTTACAATAGCCCGTTTTGCTTAACTGTCTGAGATTAGTCAGCTGTAATTCAATAAATCCTCAGGGCAGCAAAGCAGCATGCAATACATCTTCAGAACTGCTTGGGGGTGTAAAAACAAAAATAAACCCTCCACACAGAGGTCAGCACTCCTTTAGTATCAAACAAACACTGTTGACGTCAGTAGGACTTGTGTATTTCTGCATGTGAAGATAGGTTAATTGATCTGACGCTTGGTTGGTTATTCTTGTAGACTTTTTTGATAATATTGAGGACAGTCTGCGTAGGGTGGTGGCTTGCACTGAGTTTTAAGTTCCATGAGAAGCAAAAATGTATTCGTAACTAAAGTTCTCATTTTCAGAAGGATGTAATCTGTGTGCGGGTAGTTCCTTAATTTCTCAAAGTTCCTTCTTTCTGGACTTGCACTTTCAGTAAATCAGTAAAGCGATAATGATGAAGATAAAGAACAGTTACCGTGTGTCCCCGGGACAGCAAAGGCAGAAGTTAGTTTGTGACACGGGTGTGTGAAGCTGGGGAAAGAAATGGAGGAGTTACGCTCGTACAATAATATGTTGTCACCTCATTGCGCAAAGCTGGGGAGTAGAGTATAGGGGTAGAACATAAAGGCAAAGGGGAATGAAATGATCACGGCACGAAAGACTGATGAAATGGAGTTATTATTGGAACAAGAGAGCATTGGGTAACGATAGAGGAGAAATTTGAACTGCGTAGCACCATCGCAGTACTAGAAGTGAAGTAAAACCCAGTAACACAAAAATACACAGGAAATATATTTAAGAATTGCTTAAAGTCATTTTTGTTGTTGGCTGAAAAAATTTCAGTTGAAAACAACAAACAGCAAAGGTCTGGGTATGTTTAGTCGCGGGATGACTGAACCATCTCGTGTGATACTAAGAAAAAAGCAACCGCAATTCTTGGATGATTCATTTGATGATTTCCAGTAGAGAAGGGAAATAGACTATTTCATGAGAGATTGCAAGGATGGTCTCATTTGTGCTTAAGAAATAAGTGAAAGAAACATCAGAAGGGGATTGTAGTTATCCTGGGATGACTGGAAAATGAGAAGAAAAAGTTTGCTCGATGTTGAGAAAAAGAAACAAGTAGAAAATACAATTCCTTCTGTATAAAAAAACCAAAAACCCACCTGTCAATAACAACCTTTATCCTGAAGGACATTTGTAGCACAGAAGCAAATGAAGTTTGGTTGCCCACATAGAAGTTTAAATCGGATGGTTGCGTCTGCCTTATAGGTGACAGAGGATGTTCTGGAAGAATCAATGTCACCTTGATGGAAATTCCTGATGAGTAAACAAAACCCAGCAGCTCTGTTGCTATGTTGATGATTACTTCACTTTCAGTTCTTCAAAGTCTTTGGGAGTTTTTTTGGGCTGATGTTTCCACTGCTTTACTTTTCCTGAGGTGGCTGAATAAACTTAAGAGGGGTTTTGGGGTGGTTTTTTTATTTTTAAGTTCAGATCTCTGACTCTTCTGTTGGAGTCAGATTCTCTTTGAGGCATTAGAAACGCTTAGTGAAGTTCAGTGGGTTGCTCTTCCATCTTACCTGTCTCCCTCCCAGCCAACAGTAATTCATGACTGTATTTCATTGGTGTTCTTGTACAAAGTACAGAAAATGAAGTACATTATATTGAGAGAATACAGAGCTGCCTGTGTAAATATAGTTTTACATTATTACATTTCCTTTCATCTGTATAATTTGGTTTCCTACGATAGAACATCCACAGTTTCGTTGTGGTGAATTTTATGTCATTTTATTCTTACCTCATATAATGTTTGGTTAGTCATTTTACTTTATTCTTCCAGATCCCCCAGTAAACCCCTGGCGCGGAAATTAATGAGTGGGATGGACTGGGAAGTAGTGAGTAGGAACTCACTGTCTGATGACAGGTTGGAAACACAGAGCCTACCATCACGGTCTCCACCTGGAACCCCAAATCAGTAAGTAGCATCAAATCTTCTCTCCCTAGAAGGGAGCGTCTACCTCTAATGTGAGTTACCTGCTTGTGTAATAAAAGGATTAATGTGATACAGGGACAAATAACTTCACAAATTATATGCTGAGTGGTTCAGCTCCAGATGAGAGAAACTATTTGGGAGTGAATTTTAGGTGCTTGTCACTCAACCTGTAAAAAGTGTAAGATGTAGCACGCTACCCTAAATTTGATAGCTTGAGTTTCTCAAGCACAAATAGAACTACATTATTCGTTTGACCAAGAAAAAGATTGATAATAAAATCTGTGTGATGTTTTAGAAATAATTTATTCTGGTTAATACCACTACTTAAATCATTGGGAAAAATTACTTAATCAGAAATTTGGCCTTCCAGTACCTGAAGGAGGCCTACAGGAGAGATGGGGAGGGACTCTGTATCAGGGAACATAGTGATAGAACGAGGGGTAATGGTTTTAAATTGAAAGAGGGGAGATTTAGATTAGGTACTAGAAATAAATTCTTTACTGTGAGGGTGGTGAGACACGGGAATAGTTGCCCAGAGAAGTTGTGGTTGCCCCATCCCTGGAGGTGGACCAGGCTGGATGGGGTTTTGATCAACCTGCTCTACTGGGAGGTGTCCCTGCCCATGGCAGGGGGGTTGGAACTTGATGATCTTTAAGGTCCCTTCTAACTCTTCTCATTCTATGATGCTAAGTCCTTGCAAGTTTATTCCCCTCAATTTTTCTGTATTTCTTTTCAAAGCTCACTCTTTTCACATGATAGGTTTATAGTTAGTGAAAAATCATTCCTAATTTCTTTTGGAAAATGACCGATTTTGGTCAGTGTACTGAAGCTGGCTTAAGAATTGGTATTATCCAATTTTGTATTGTGTAAACCAGAAGGTTTTAAGATTCTTTGACATTGCAGCATGTTATTGAAAAGGCTGTTGTAAATATCTGTAGCATTTAAAAATTATTGCAAAAATTGTGTAATAATGATGCTTATAGCATAACATAACTTAATCATGCGTGTTTCAAAACATTTTAAGAAAAATGCTAGTTTTCAAATGGGAAAGTTTTGGGTCACACAAATGAGAAGACTCTCAGTGCAAAGCTTACGATTCTTCTGGGAGAAGATGCAGGGGATAAAATGTTCATCTTAATGAATTCAGGTTGCGTTCTGCCATGAACGGAGCCAGGATTTTTCTTCTTGGGAATTCATTTTTGTTCTTATTGACAGGACTGGCAGTCCAGTAGCCTGTTCATTGACCCATAATGCTTTCAGACTTCTTTAATTGAAAAAAAAAAAAAAAATTAGCCATTTGGTGTTTATGAAAATATTTTTGAGCACTTTTAAGAAGAAAATTATGAAATATAGCATGTTGATCTGACAATGAAATTATTTCAGTGATTTTTGAAACATTAAATTATGTAGTAAAAATAGATATATGAACGTATGCTTGCACTGAGAAGAAATAATTGTTTTAGCATTCCTGTGTGGTGGTGTAAACAACGTAGATTAATGCAAATGTTCTTTTCACGTCGCACTGCTGTGCTTTCCCTCTTAGTCGCAACTCTGCCTTCACTCAAGAAGGAGCCCGGTTACGACCCTCATCAGTTGGACATTTAGTGGACCATGTGGTTCACACTTCCCCGAGTGAAGTTTTTGTAAATCACAGATCGCCATCTTCCACCCAGGCTAATAGCATCATACTGGAATCATCGCCGTAAGTTCTGTTGGTCCTTACTGTGTGGTACAATGTGGGGCTTCTGAAAATAAGTCAGATATCCTAGCCATTAAGAATTTCTTGTTAAATGTTTGGGTCAGGAAAGCCAGAAAAATCTAATAAAAAAGGTAGCTGTTGTTTAGGGAGAATTAGGATAAGTTTTACTGAAAATTCAATGAAACGGAAGTAAAGACCTATATCTGACATGTTCCTGGTGCAGGATTACCCACACACACAAAGTGTGCATTTACTGGAATGTGACCATCAGTGTTTGGATGTGGAAGTGAAAGTTATTTTTTTTGATAGAACTGAAGTACGTTGGTTTGTGATAGAAGCTTTTCATTCCCTTGAGTCTGGAAATTTTGGGTTTTGTCAAGACACACAAGTATAAGTGAGCAAAATACCTTTCTGGCACCCCAGAATTCTTAGGTTCCTAGTGTGTTTTGTATATTGTTATAGAGTATATATATATTTTTTTAAGATAGCATTATCAGGCATTTTTTCTGTTAGCTGAATTTTTTTGAAACTGTAAGTTCACTATACTGTGGTGGACAAAGTAAAAACTATTATTGTATATGATGACAAAAAACCATTGAATTATTCAAAAATTTGAAATACTCAGTAACTTGTGGCCAAAATGCAGATTAACTGAGGACAAAAGGTGCAAATACACTTACTAAGAGTGCCACTGTACCTTCTTATATGTAGCTATACATGTAATGTTAAACTTGCCCTCATAATTTTGATAATTTCTGTTAGCAAGGAAATTGTGCAAATGTTTTCAAAGCCATTTGAGAGCTCTAAAATAGCACATACATAATTACATGTCTATAAACAAATTGTTTGTCTCAGGAAAAATTACTCTGGGAAGGTATTTGAACGTAATTTTAAACCCTTTAACAACTCTGTGTAAGTTTGGGGAGGGACAGAGAATACAAAATTTTTTAAGCTTTTTGTAAAATAACACAAGATGCTTTTTATGACGGGCTACAGTAGTCCTAATTTTGACTATCAGCTAGTTACTTAGCTTTCAGAGTTACAAAACAGTAATTTGGCCTAATAATACAAAATCCCCTTTTTTTTGGTGGGCTCTTTTAACCTACTCATATTGCAGGGAAGACTCAAAACTGAAACACTTGTGAATCTTTTCCCATACTAGAGATCTGATGTGCAAAGGCCACACAGGGTCAGGTTCTTCTGTTCTAAGACTTCCAACTGAAGTCACTGGTGAGAAACACTTGATTGGTAGAGTGATACAGTGAAGTAAGCACAATTCTTAAATATTCACTTTTATTCCTATGCCTTTAAGTAAAGTTATAGAAGTTGTTCCTGAGCGTCCGTGGGATTTGTTTATTTAATACCTGATTTCTTGCGTAAGTCACCATAGAAATCAGTCTTAAAAAGAAAGGAAGTGGTTTTGTAAATTAGTTATGCAACTATGGCTCTTCTTTTTCGTGATTTTACATTTTTTATGCCCAAGCAGAAAACTACTTTGGGGTTTTGTTTTTGTTTTTTCCCTTGTTGGAAGCTTAAAAGTGGAATTTAATCTCCCAAGATAGATATCTAGCATAAGTTATTTTTAAGAATTAGGACATTGACTGTCAAAAATACATAAACCCCATTAGGGTCTTCTGAAAGTTTCAGGTGATGTTATTGATTCAAGATTGGAGATTTACGAAATAAAGTAGTCATGAAGTTGGTATTAGCTATATAACTTAATATTATACTGTTTTACAGTCCAGAAAGCTATTTCTTAAACAACTTGACCTTTCTGCGTGACAAGATTTGAATAATCCATCTGCTAATTTTTTGGGAATTTTTATTTATTGATCGAATTTACATGTGTAAGAAAGTCAGAGGGGCTGACCTGACAGGCAGTAGGTTTACTGATCTTTTTGAGTCAACATAGCGAAAGAAATGAGAGCTTCAGTGCAGTTCAGAGGGATATTACAGCTTAGCTAATGCAACCTTTAATTCCACATCTTTTTTTCTTCATCTGCATGTGCTATTCAAAACTAAATGGAGAGATTTCTGCTTGTAGTTCCCTGAGGTAATTATAACCTTCAATTCCAAAAGCATGTGATATGTGTTTAGTTTAATAAATTTATGGGGGTGTGTATGAAACTTTTACTTAGTCTATTAAAAGGTCAGCCCGGATATCTGTAACAAAAATACCCAAAGCTTGTCAGTGCTGGGGTTTGTGTGTTATTTTATTGTTATGTAAATCTCTGAATGCAGTAACAGAGGCTGCTTTGCCTGCAAAATAGGCTGCTTTCACTGCCATTGTCTAAGCATTCATAAGGAAATTCAAAGCTGACTGGGCAAATATAAAGCCATGAAGTTTTTGCCCAAGGCTTGATTGTTAGTTCTCACAATTCATTATGCTAATGTATTACAGTACTTGCATTGCTGCTTCTAAAATGCTCTTTTAAGTAACTTTTCAAATCTTTTCTATAGGTTTGTATGTTCGGTAGGAATTTATTTGTGTTTGTTGACATGTACGTGCAGACATCTAGTCAAACAGAAGATTCCATCTTTTGCTTTTATCGGAATGACTTATTTTGTGTCTCTCCTCATGGTTTCTGTTCCTTTTTTATTCAGTTGAAAACTCTCAGGGGTAATTTTTTTGCGGGAAAATACATAACTGTTGCCCTTCACTTTACAAGCTGAATAATCTGTGCTGGCCAGACTTGAATGAATAAATACATAGGGAGTTAAAAAGCTCTGGGTGACCTTTGTAAGTCAATGTCTAAATAATTTATAGCTGCCTTGAAAATTCACTTTGCAAATGTTGGCAATCATGATATTTTTCTTTTTCTCCACAAAAAATGAATTTAGAAAAGCTGTTTACCCTGAAAAATAAAATATAAGGATGCTTTCTTTTACTGTCACTTGCATTGAAAGTGTTAAGAAATAATATTTTTATTCCCTAGTGTTTTTTGAACATGAGATTATTCAGACATCAGATACTGAATAATTAGTACTTTTTTTCTTTTAGCACTGTGTGAAAAACCCCCACTATTTTCTGAAAGTTGAAATTAAGCAAAAACATACAGAAAAAATATTATTAGGATCTCTTCAAATGTACTGTTTTCATACATTAACAAAATATCAATATTTTGTTTTCTAAGAAAATTGACTACATTTTTTTTAAAACTGAAATAGAAAACTTGTGGTTTTTCAAATGAAGTGTTCCATTTCCCATTAAATTTTCATGCGTTTTGAAAGAGGCTCATCCTTTATTTGAAATAGCTGTAGACAGTTGTGATCTGATTCTTTTTTGTTGTTGTTGTTTTTATTCGAAAACATGTATGTGGGATCTGCCTTTCTTTAATTGCATGGAGACAAATTATATGGTGCTGAATTTGGTGTGTGCCTTAGGTTTTTCTAACTTGCAGCGACTTGAAATGTTGTGCTGTCTCATGAGGAGGGTCTTACTCTGCTAACAGTTTACCGTGGCTGGGGACCAGTTAAAGACAGTAGGGTTCCTCACGTGGTTACCCGGGCTTTTTAGAGGGATGTTATGGTATGAGTTACCACTACAGCTTGCTGATAACGAAAGGGGCACTGTCCTATTTCTGTCTTCTGGGACTGTACCTCCCTCCCCGACCTTGTGATGAACCGTTTGCCTCCTTGAATCAGCGGAGAGCTACCCGGCCTTGGCCAAAAAAAGTCAATTTATTTTTGCTTGCTTGGTAAGCTGCCTCGGCCGAGGGAGGAGCACCAGAGAACTTCAGGGAAGGGGCTGTGGGTGCGGGTGAAAGAAAGAACAGACGCACCCATTTCTGGTTGTAGCCTCCTCTTTAGATTTAGCTGCAACCTGTAACTTCATTCCTGGTGGTTTTGGGGATTTGCCACTCGTATCAGTGGGCTGTTGTCATGAGTCGTTAAATTACTTAATAATACTTTTTAATGTGGTTCATGGGGAGGAAGGCGTATGTTGTTGCTGGTATTCAGAAACTGGCATTCACACGAAGTTAATGGGAGCTGTGTGCTAACTGCCCTTTTGGGCCTCTCAAAATGTTCTTAATTCTTAAATATAACGCCATATCATGAAAGATGAATCATACAGTTATGTAATACAAATTACACAGTTAAACTTTTATTCCAAAAGGACTAATAAAGGAAATTATCCGTATTATACGTAAACACAGAGAACATTTTTATTAATCTGCAGTAGAGTGCTTGCAGACCTAAAACAGAAATAGGACTTTCTGCTATTTCGTCTCCAGTAATGGTGTTACAGCTCAAGTAAAAAAGGCACGCAATGAATGCCATTTTTACAAATGTTTCACAGCTGTGCATGTTTCAAAGGGGAATATGTTCAAGAGCGGGGGGAAAAAACAAAGTTCTCTTGAAATGTATACATATACTTTTAAGTTGAAAAATTAAAATTTAATGCTGTCATCTCCAGTGGGATTTTCAAATAAAGGGAGGGGGACAGTTGAGTTGTCTTCAACTTGCACTCCTATTTTTAGATCAAAAGCCAAAAGCTAGTGTGGAAGCAGTTTATTATGCTGCTTTTGTCTGGTTTTTAGGATTTAAATTGTGGGCATTAATTTAATATGTAAACTAATTGATTTTCTTGCTGAGGAAAACATATTGACATATCTATTTTAGAAATACTATTTTAGCAAGAGTGCAGGGTATAGATGCAATGAGTTTTATAATGTTCCAATATAAAGTGAGTTCAGAGTGCTAAAACCCTTTAAAAAAAAAAGTCACGTGTAAAAGATGAACTTACTGGCTCTGTGAATAGTTGCTTGTCAAGAAAAAAGCGGTAACATTTCCAAACATACACTTCCAGTATATTCCACCACATTACATTTTTGAAATTCTAAAAATACATACCAATATTCAGCTCTCGAACTCTTACGTTTCTCCTAGCATTTTCAGTTTATTTGAAACCCTGAAAAAACTGCCAATTTCTCATGGATCGTTTGACTTCATACTTCTATTTTGGTATTTAGATCTCAAGAGACTCCTATAGATGGGCAGCCTCCCGCGTTACCACCCAAACAATTTAAAAAGAACAGTTGGAACCAAATTCATCATTCACACTCACAGCAAGAACTGGAAAACCACATTAATGAAACATTTGATGTTCCCGCATCACCTGAAAAATCCACAGTAAGTTTTTTGGATCCGGTTTGACCCGTCTGCCTTTTATTGGAATGATAGTCCTCCTTTTCCTGAACTTGGTTCCAATGCATTTCGGAGAGTTGTTGTGCTTGTGCATTACACTGTAGCATTTCCATTGTACATACTGTCTCTTCGTCAGCTCCCACTTCTTTGTGTCACCTGCTGGAGTAGTTCTTTGTCAGTTGTCATCAAATGACTGCTTTGGGATGGATTTGCAAACATTTTGAACATTAGCTTTGCAGCACGTGCAGAAATTTCTAACTAACCTCTTCTTTGAGAAATCATTTTCCATCAATTTTAAAGAAGACATTGCAGACACTACCACTGGTGTTTCATCTAGCTTTTATCAAAAAGCTGAAACTAAAAGAGCCTCCCAGCTCCTAGGGCAGTTTTGTCAGGAGAGGATTCGTCAATCTGTGATTGCATTTCTTAATAGAATTTCCAAGAAGCTACCGAGACCTTGTGATAAGGCATGTAAAAATCTGAGTGAAAGTTCCTTTTCCACCCTTAAGCACATGCTAGATGAGTAACCTAGTCAGTTGATTATTGCCTGGCTGAGGTGAGATCTCACTGACCATTTTGGTGATTTTTTTTTTTTTTCTTTTTTTTTTTTTTCCCCCCTTCCAGAAGTTTTTGAATGAATTTGGTTTTGTACTGATGTGAGTCAAGGAACATTTTGCAAGACAGGGTAACTGTTTAACATCCAGATGTAGCAAATACTGTATAAACAGTTTTGCCGACCTCAGACATTCAAAATTATGAGTCAGCTCCCAAAATTGATGTTTTAGAAATGCCTTTGGTTTATTTTTATTTGTATTCTGAACTCTAAGCCTCAGACCTCATTGCAAAGTTAAGATTTCCATAAACCCCATACTTAATTTTGTAGCTGGGGTTTTAATATAACACGCAACAGGGAAACTCATTAATTTATGAACATTTGGGGAATGTTGTAAAATATCTTGCTTTAAATAATGAAACAAAATTTTTAACAGCTTTGTCTTAGCACTTACCTGGGTCATATTAAAGTACTGGTCTGTTTTGAAAGATAACACTATTTTGCTCATCAAGTTTCTCTGCTCTGTATTCAGTTATCTTTACCAAATTGACAAAAATAACTTTCAGTGGGTTTTTTTTGAACTCCTTTTAGTTCTGCAAAACCAACACAGCTGCGTGAGAATGAGATTCTTTTTTCTCTGTGCATTGTTGGTGTGATTGTTTGCTGTGGGCCAATGGGCCGCATGTGTGCAGCCTCGCTTACGGCAGTGCACTGTTGTAATTGAAGATCTAATTTGGGCTGCTGGTGGCTTTTTATTTTGGGTATTAGAGAAGAAGGAACACAGCATGACTCTGAAATGTTGTGAAATTGTAAATTTAGGATTTGGAATGTGTTTTTTTTTTTTTTCCCCAACTTGCTTTTCTGATCAGAATGCCCTTCAAGTTTCTGCACCACTGAAGTCTCTTCTGCTGCTCAATCTCAACATTTTAAGGAAAACCCCTCACCATTTTGACTTCATTTAGCTATTGAATTTCCTTTGTCTGATGTAGGATATATATGGGAATGACAACTTTTTACTCCATCTGCAATTCCTAAGTATCCAGTCTGAGAATGTCCAGAAGTAATTGGAAACAGGTGTGGCCAGGAGTCCCTTCAGTCACACACATTAATGATGATACACAGTGCTCTTTTCAGGTTTTTCATTCTAAACCTGTCAAAATAGCCTGTTAAAGCAGGAAATTATTATTCCATTTTTGTCTGGGGAATGCAATGGCACAAAAGTTGCCAAGCACTGCAGATGAGCACTTGGTTGTTGTTCACCATGGCCGGGAACCCGAGTCTGGTCTCCTGTGCCAGTGAACATAGGCTAAAATTATTTGCATAGGATCAAGCTTCCTAAACACCCTTTCTTCTCATTAATGTATCTTATGCTGTTACTTTCCTCTCCTCCCCCAAGTTTTTAATTTTTCTGTTGGATTTTGAGCTTCCTTACATGTAGAAATGTTTGCTTTAATAAGTTTTTTTTTGTTTTCTTCCTTTCTGAACATGAGCCTTATGTTCTGGCTGTAATTAGTAACATTGAAAACTTCCTTGAAACAAATTTCTTTAATAACACTTCAAATCCTCACCATAGAAACCATACAAATAGTAACTAATGCAGTCTGTGAAATAAATGCTGGTGGGAACAAACTAAAAATCACTTCAATGGCACTAACTAATCAACTAAGTTGATTTTTCCAAATTAAAGAAGTACCTGGCATTCTCCAGTTTATTGGTAGTTCCTTTAACAGCGTTGCTGTGATCAGAGTGAAACTAGAAAGAAAATAGCTAAAACTGGCAGAGCTTGATCAGTGCAAAGCACATGTCACACCTCATACTCCGCTACACTGGAAGTGGAATAGGGGATATGGAACCAAGATTTTGTTGCTGAACTTGTCCTTGCTTACTACTGGCATATTGCCATGAAAGGAAACAAAACGTATACCTTCAGTTATCTTATTTTTCATTGTGTTACGTTCTTACTGCAGGCTTTTCACTGTGGTCTTAATTAAAACAAATTTGAGAAGTTTCTATTTAGTAAACTGTTTTTCTTAAGACTGCTTGAAGGCAATTAGTCTTTTCTAATACTATTTCTTCCTTTGAGCTTGCTTTGACAGAACACACTTTTAACTTATTTATGTCCAAAACTTTTAAATGTGTAACTTTTCTCTTCTATGCAAAACTCAAGATAAGACTTGCATTATTTGCACAATTACTTGATGTTTTTCTCAAGTGTCTAGAAGTAATTACTTGATGAGGAAAACCACAAACTCATTACATACAATATCCTCAAAGTCTTAACTATGAACAAAATATACATTAATATAATATAATTTTTGTTTACTAGCCCAACGGCGGTGTCCCTCATGACAATCTTGTTATGATCAGAATGAAACCAGATGAAAATGGAAGGTTTGGCTTCAATGTAAAGGTAACAGTACATTTATTCCCTTCACGTCTATTAAGATTATTTTCTGACGTTTGTGAGTTATTACTAATTTAATTTGTTTTTGAAGGGTGGATATGATCAGAAGATGCCGGTAATAGTATCCAGGGTAGCTCCAGGAACACCTGTAAGTTATCAATAAAACAAACTTGGTAGCAATATCTGTGTATCTTGAAGTATGTATTCAAAGCTGTAAATTATTTCATAGTTGCCTATGAAAATTAGTTTGTGTTATAACATTATCCTAACAAAGCAAATTACGTGTGTTAAGAATTTAATGGGGCTACAGATTTTAAAAGTTTTTCAATCCTCAAAAATATTTTTTCTTACTGCAATAAAATTTAGTTCCTGAAAATCACAGGGTTACAGATGTTCAGTATGTGCTGTTTCTTGAGCTGTGTTATCCTAAAAATACATTTGCTTTATGACTTTTTTTTAAATATAGGCATTCATTTAAATTCACATAAATTATATATTGGAAGTGTCTTTTAGGATGTTAAAAATAACTAAAGTAGCAAATCTCTCTTATTTTAGTGACAGATGTAGCTGAATAAAGGCAAGGTTTAGATTAAAATCAGACATCATGAATCATTCATCAGGTCTGATTGTCTGTTGTTACTGGTGTTTAGCGACTATCAATAGTGTCTTCAAACCAGGCACAATATTTTGTCAGTTGATTGCCAAAAATACTGACCTGGTATTCAGCTGATCGGAGTCAGCTCTGTTTATACCTTTGAGAGTAGAGTGATTTGCTAACATTTAAGAAGTACAGCTTCCTTTTTTCTTTTTTTTTTTTTTTTTTTTTGACTATTTGAAACTACTAAAATGTTTGCCAAGAACATTGTTCTTGTCCCTATTAATTATTCTCTCTGAAATAATTATTAACCTAAATAATTTTGGCTGAATGATTTAGACATCCACTCTCTAAGGAGAAGATATTTGGTCGTGGCATGTGCTCGCTCTTTTTTGCAATGGTGCTTAGACTATGATTATAATAATGATCTTTATTACCTGATTCCCCTCTCTGGGATTACTGAGTTTTGTATGTTGTCATCAGTCCTTGTCTTATTGCAACTGTAATGACAAGAGTGTTTCACACCTGAGGCATTTCAGCCTGTGAAATTGATTTGGACAAGGCTCTGCCATGTTACTCCCTTCCCTTCAGAGATAAGAACATCCTGCCTTTTAATTGCCCAGACAAAATGTGATTCAAACAGAGGAGCTTTCTGCTTCAACCAGAGGAGTGGAGTAACAGCTGCTGAAAGACATGTTACAATGACAGTCACCTCCCAGCTGCAAATTGATTAGTTCACGTGAATGCTGCTGTCTTATGTATTGTGTAACTCTTCAATTTTATCATTTGAACACAATAGAGCAACCATAGCAACCAGGCTGTTAGGATTCAAGTCCCTAAGTATAGTTACTTTGAGTTGCTATTTTAAGGTGAGAAATTGGAAATGACTTCTTTTACAGATGTTATTTTTTTTTCTTCCCTTGCAGGCTGATCTCTGTGTCCCTCGTTTGAATGAAGGGGACCAGGTTGTACTGATTAACGGCAGGGACATAGCAGAACATACCCACGATCAAGTTGTTATGTTTATTAAAGCTAGCTGTGAGAGGCACTCAGGGGAACTTGTGCTCCTAGTTCGACCCAATGGTGAGTGATTTGTCCATAGTAAGACTTTAATAAATAAAAAAATAGAAATCCACACCTAGGTTTCATTTTCTAACCTCCATTTTCTGTCCTGAAATGGAATGATTAACATGTTTGTAAGAAAGAGGTCCTTTGCTTGAAAAGGAATTGCAACAACACAATGTATTGTACATACCATTAGCTGTGCATAACTAAGTGTTGGAAATCAATAGGAAAGTCAGAGATCACATATCTCTAACAGAGAGCTAATATAAATTTTGTTCTCGCTCTCATTGATAGGAATGTCCAGAAAGCTATGTGGGTATCGAATGCAGTTTCTGTGTTGCTGTTATTCCCTTAAATAAAACAAAAACCAAGCATAAACAAACCACCCCTCACCAAACACCCCGTGTTCGGATGCCTCTGGAGGTCGATATATGCAAAACCCTTCCTTATGTTTTTAAAACCATCCAGAACGACTGGTAACGTTTCTACTCGAGGAAGCTTAATACAAGAAAGTGCTAAAAATGTGGTCTAAATAACAGCTTGTGTAATATGGTCATGAAATGCACTGTTGAAGCATTGCCAGCAGATGGTCACTGGATTTAATTCTGCTGCACATCCCAATTATAATACAGTTGCAGAGGAAGAAGCAAAATGATAAATAATGATGTTTAATCGGAATAATTGAAATTACTTTAGGAGAGTACCTCAGCCACCTCATAAACAATTTTTCCTTTATTCACTTATTTGCACTCCCCACTTACTTGTGCTCACATTCTGTGTCTAAGTTCTCTTGCAGCATTTGTGTGCTTACTTTCTTTTTCAGATAAAATTGTTAGCTTTGTTTACAAATTTACTAAAACAGTTTCCCATTGTGTGTTAATTATCTGTGTATTCTGGATAAAAACATTTGAGTTGTGGAAGTGAGGAGTTGGCGGTTTCCCCCTTCGTGGTCATGGAATATCATTTAAAGACAGGCTTTTGAACAGCATATGTCTCTGTTATGGGTAGTAGAACATACATATTTTCAGTTTATTTATTGTTAGGGCATGCATACAACATTGATAGCATTATAATGGCATATATTAATGCCATTTTCTCAGTTGGTCTACACATCTTGCCCTAATTACTGAAGCCTAAAATCAGGTCAAAGGGAATTAAAAGTGAAAATGTAAATGCAACTATAGTGACTTGAGAGGCATATGATGATGTGAGAATCTGAGATTCGGGAGTTACATCAGACAAGGTATGGTATAATATATAAATTTTAGCAGTCAGTGATGTGCTTTTGCTTAAAAATACTATTAAACCAAAAATATAGTTTTGTCATGGACTGTAAGAATGCGTAGAGGCTACTTGCCCTTGCTCATGGGGACTAAAATCAGTGTGTTCATAAATGTGGATTTTTCTACAGGAAAAACACTTGTTTTTTCTGCTGTTTTAAATAAATGACTTAGAGTTAACTTTATTTGCCAAACAGCATGTTCAGTGAGAGTGTTGGTACCTTTGTATGTTATAGCTGTCTATGATGTTGTGGAAGAGAAGCTGGAGAGTGAGCCTGACTTCCAGTACATCCCTGAGAAATCTCCACTTGATGGTGTCCATCAAGATGATAACGCTCTGAGGGAATCCATGATTCAGCTGGCAGAGGGGCTCATCACTGGAACTGTTTTGGCTCAGTTTGATGTGAGTACTGTGTCGCCTGTAGCTGTGTGCAAGTTCCAAGTCTTTAGGCATAGTAATTATTTTAAGCAGAGCAGATTTCAGTGAAATTTCAGTAGAGTCAGCATCTTCTAGCAAAGCAATTGTCTTACACTCTCAAAATAAACATTAAAAAAAATCCAATCCTGTGTTGTATCTGCGAACTTATGGCATAGAATAAACCCAATACTGGTTATCTGCTATCGTTTGTTATAAATACCTTTTTTGGTTACTTACAGCTTTTTGTGGTTATCGGGGACCTATACTAATAAAATACTTTCATAGAAATGAAGACTGAAAAATGTAAACCAAAATATGTGTTCTGTGCTCAGACTTCCATTCCATATCCGAGTTACTGTGGAAACTGAATGACAGCTGAACTGTTGACATTTTATGGACAGTCTCAATGAAGGCAGGCAAAATTACCAATGGAAAATACAACCCTAATCTTAAGGGTTAATGTAACAATGTCTTTTATAAATATTTAATTTTTGTTATGACTTACTTCAAAGCAACGGTGCACCTCCTGTGGGGTCCTGAGCTGCTTCTGCTTGTGCCTTGATGATATTCCATCCCTTAAGCATGAGATCAAGTGACTTAAAGCAGGAAGCAGTAGGCTTGTAAAGCACAGCAGTGTGAATTCTGTGAGTTCCTCACCAAATGGAGACCTAGCATTATGTATTACAACATATATGTATAAAATATATGTCTATATTATTATTTAAGAACTTTGCTAAAATTTACTTTTATATATAGAAATAAAAGATTTTCTCAAAGTTATTTAAAATCTCTAATTAACCATACACTTTCAGTTTCCCAGCAGGTTCAATAGTTAAAAGTTTTTAAAGTGCCTTTTATTGAACCTGGATGGTTGCGTTGCTGCACAAGGGTTGTGACAGTGCTTGGCCAAGGCATGAGAGGGCAGGAACCCCTCAAAGGGGATTTTGTGCAGCAAAAGCACAAGGTAGCCCAAGACTTGCTCTAGTTATTGAAATACAGAGGGACACCCAGAAAAAAAATAAAATTGAAACAACTGCAATGTAGGTAGATTGTAGACAGTATAACCTGCTTGCCCCAAATCATGGTGGGGAATGTCAGTCAGTTGCCTCACCAGTGTTCAATATTGTCTTTTCTCTGGATCAGTATCCTTATGGAAGCTTGAAGTTTAATGTTCAGTTTGTCTTTAAACAAATTGTGATGAGGTCTTGATTATTTTCAGTGATTCCACAGCATAACTAAATTGATGATGCTTTCTTTGGAGAAGTATTTTCATGTCTATTGAAGTTACTGTTGCTCAGTACTTTGTTCTAAAAAATGCCTCTAGGCAAATAATATAATAATGGGTCTTTTGCATCGATTATGGTCTGACCATCAGTTTTGTCTTTTAGCAATTGTATAGGAAGAAGCCTGGAATGACAATGTCTTGTGCCAGATTACCTCAAAACATTTCCAAAAATAGATACAGAGACATTTCGCCTTGTAAGTATGTGTGTTTGTGTATGTGTTCTAAAAGTGTTTTACTGTGGTTAGTAAATAAGTAACATCTTTCTAAAATTTTTTTCAGATGATGCTACACGGGTTATTTTAAAAAGTAATGAAGATTACATCAATGCAAATTATATAAATGTGAGTAGTACTTTTGAAAAGAGCTTCTGACAGTAAGTAATTTTGCAGTTTTTTAATGGAGAAGTTGATTACAAAAAAATAGCATTTTCATATATCTAGTTCAGACTGGAATGGCTCATAAACCTGTAGGCAGATGGTTTGAAATTGACTGTAAGTATACTTTTTTGCTAATGTTTTGTGGCAGGTATTTTTAGAAATCAAAGCAAGAAAAAGAAAAAATGCTAAGAGAAGCTACCCTCCTACCAGAGGAATTAAATTTTCTTTTCTGCTTACTAATGTGGTAGTAGTGTTCAACATCAGTGAAGTTTAATCTGGCAGCACTTTCTGTAACATCTTCTCCCCTGTCATTCTGCTCCCCCCCATCACTAACAACAAAATTGCAGCTGCTTATTTTTACTTTCGGAAAGGAAAAACAGAGATTAAATTAAATTCCAAGATCATTATTCTAAAAGCCAGTGTCAGAAACTCACAGAGCGTGAAACGTTTGCACGTGAATTATTTGCCAACTGGTCTATCACTTCTTTTTTCAGCCGTTAATCTTGATTATGGCGACTCCATAGCTGTCAGTTAATACGTGAAGTATACTTAGGTCTTCGTAATAATTTTGCGTGTAAAACACTTTGAAGAATTGTTATCTGTGCCATTCTATATCTATTAACTTATAGTAAATAGAATTAATGTAGTTGATGCTTGTTAAATGTATTAGTGACTAAACACTCAATCTCTGATGCCTGATTTAAATTAGGAATTAAATAATGACTTTGTCTTCTCTTAGATGGAAATCCCTTCTTCCACAATAATAAACCAGTACATCGCTTGTCAAGGTCCACTACCGAACACTTGTCCTGATTTTTGGCAGATGACTTGGGAACAAGGCTCGTCTATGGTTGTAATGTTAACGACACAGGTTGAACGGGGCAGAGTAAGTAAAAGATTTCCTTAAGTACTGCTTGCATAATCCTCTAAACATCTGTTGGTGATTAGCCTTTACAAGATTAGAGGAATATACTGTTATGACATATAATATGACAATGGGTAATGGTTTTAAACTAGACAAGGGTAGATTCAGACTAGATAAAGGAAAGACATGTTTTTACAACGAGGATGGTGAAATGCTGGAATAGGTTGCCCAGAGAGGTGGTAGATGCTCCATCCCTGGAAACATTCAAGGTTGTGCTGGATGGGGCTCTGAGCAACCTGATCTAATTGAAGATGTTCCTGCTCATTGCAGGACGGTTTGACTTGATAAGGGTCCCTTCCAACCCAAACTATTCTATGACTTTTTTTTTAATGAGGTCATTGTGTTCCTAGTACTGTTGCAGTGATGACTGTTACATTTTAAACTTTCTGATATTGTTAAAGTAGCTAATATTTAAACTGTGTTCTGAAATACACTGAAGTCTTCACGTATTCCTTAAAATACTTTTAGGCTTCTTTCTTTTGATTTTTTTTTTTCCAAAGTAAAAAGCAACTCAAATTTATCTTCATAGGATTTTTTTTCTAAACTTCAAATGAAGGAACTCCAAGAAGTTTCATGAGTTTTTTGTAGATTAGTTCTTTGATATGTAGAGAGATTAATTTTTTTAAGGCAGCCTAACACAGCTTTGTAGTGTTAAGATCCCATGCCCGGCTGGTTGTCTATAAGAGAATCCTTGATAAACTTGAAATCCAAAATTTTTCACAAAATGTTCTTCTGTAGCTATAAACATTTGTTTAATCATATGGAAGAATCTTTGTCCTCTAAATCATTTCCATACAAAATCATGTAAAAATAGTCTACTAGTAATAAAGTAGTTATAAATTACTACAAATAATTGTGTATCGTGCTGTGAAAGGTCTCAAGTGTATTTTGTGGTTTGGTTGGTTGTTTTTTTAAGCTACGGTTTCTCCTGTATGGCTTTGTTTGTTTTGCAGCTTTGTCCTTTGGAGACAGGCAGAACAATCAGATCTGGTCATTCACACGGTGTAATTCCAGAGATACTGGGTTTATAGGTTTATAGAATGTGGAGCATTCACAGTAGCACTGGCTGGATGAGTGTGTGGACAGAAATGAAAGTTAGGAATAATAGTTCAGTGAAATTTCTCCACAATCAGGATTTCTTTTGAAGGTGGATTTATAGTAGGTTGTGGGTGTTCTGGTCAACTCGGACTGTAGTTCAGCTGTCTGTATATATTCTAACTTTATAATAACCATATATTGCTGGGAGGCCAGGCCTCTAAATATAATTAAAATAATTGAAGGGCAGTTGCAGCATTTTTAAACCATTTTTCAGTGACTCAATATTAGCATGATGCTGCCTGCTCCCAAATAAGCATGATTAGAGGGAATTTCAGTACAAGTGCCCTTTTAATTTGAGTTTTCTTTGCAGATCTGCTAAGAACAGACTTGCAATAGCAGTTCTCTGAGGTTCCCCCACCCCTTCAATAACCATATTTGTGGAGTTCTTTGGAGAGCTGCTAAATAATGAAATAAAAGGACTAATTTGTCTTATACCCATAGGCAGACTCCCTGCTCTAAAGCTGATCATGAGGCTACCGACATCGCTATCCCACTGCATGCCGGGATGTCTCAGTGGAGCAGGAAGTCTGCAAATCTGGCTGCTCTTAAAGAATCGCCAGGTGGGTTGGAAAAACAAAAGTACACTTGAGCTGAAATGACCTCTGTAATTTGGCCTTTAAGCAATATATCTGAAAATCTTAGCGTTTGAAGTTTTCATTCACGTTTGATGACTTGATCAAGAGTCTTACAAATCCACCATCTGCATCCCCCTAATTTCTGCATTAGTTTAGCAACTTTTGTGTTGCTTATTGCCTTTTTTTTTTTTTTTATTTCTTCCTTTCCCATATAAATCTGCTTTGAGATCAGCATTTTGGAGGTCAGAAATGTTTCTAAAGCAGCATCTTTGTCACTCAAGTGTTAGTATGGAATATTTATAGATACACTTTTTAAAAATTGTAATGACAATTAGAGGCATCTATCTTCAGTTAAATTAATCTCAAGAGCTGGTGCATGTGTCCTCTTGAAAAGAGAACCAGGAAACCTCTGCGATACCTTATTTTATAAACAATAATTAGGTAACACAGTCTATTGGGTAAGTAAATTAATAGTGATTACAAAATGATCGTCCTTAATGAAGAAAGGTATAAGGAACTAGAGACAATGAAAATAATACTCTGTGAATTTAAACACAGGCATCTTTAAAAATGTCTTGACTGTAGGTTAAATGCCACCAGTACTGGCCAGAGCCATCAGGAAGCTCATCCTATGGGAATTTCCAGATTACCTGCCATTCAGAAGAAGGAAATCCTGCTTATGTCTTTCGAGAAATGACATTGACTAATCTGGAGGTAAAATAATAATATGTATTTTAAGTATTAATCTGCGGAATTCAAATTCTCACAGACTAGCTAAAACTTACTTAATCAGACTCTCTTTTCATCTTGGTGGCGTAGTCACATTAATGGAACTGTTTATTTCTAGAAGCTGTTAGAAAAATACTCATATTGCCATGTACATACCTAGTATGAATTCTGCTCTTAGATAACAAACCTTTCACTAGCAAAATATCACAAAGATTCAGTTTCCATAATCTTATTATTTGGTTTTAAATTACATAAAAGATATCTTAAAGGTCTTTAAGGGTGTCTTTCAGGCCCTGGCCAAAGGAAAAAAAAAAATTAAAGAAGTTGAGAAACTTGTTATTCCCTTGATGTTTTCAAAACATGAGATTCTGAAATGTAATAATTTCATTATTACAACTGAAAATCTGTCTTTGTAGAGGCAAACAGTTCTTAATAATTCCATCGTGGAGAATATGCGCAATTAGATGGAAGATAAATCCTGCTGAGAGAAAGATGAATTGGGATTGGTGACTATACATAAACAAGGACCTTCTTGAACATGCATTGTGTGATTTTTCAGGACACGAGCAGTTTTCAGAGCCTCCCCAGGCAGTATTTCAATCTCAGAAGTGTTTGGAAATGAGTATCTAGAATTTAGTTCCCGTACTCATTTCTCACTTCTTGGGTTACCAGATGAGATGTCAGTTTTATAGAGCTGCCTTTTAGTCGATTTGCAGTTAAAATTCCTTCCCTGTGCCCTTCTGAGACAATTGCTCATTTGTTATCAGCAGTGGAACCTCTGTGAATGATTCCATGCCTAGAGGTTATTTAAAGTGTGTTAACTCCTGTTCTTTAAAATGCTGTTTTTACACTGATTGTAGGGCCTGTCCACTCCACTAACCAGAGGCAGATGTTTGTGATGTTAGAGCAAGGGACAGGAGTCAGTGGAGAACAAAGGCATTCTGCATCTTATGTATAGTACGCTGGATAAAATTAAGAGGTGCAGGTAAAGCCAGAACAAAGCTGCTGTTCACACAGAGCTTGAAGGAGAGCTTTCATCTCTGAAAGTCCTGCCTCTCCCATTTAACTCAGTTCTGTCATTTCATAGTAAGATACTACTCCTCTCTGTTAAATTTGTTTGCTAAAAATTTGACCACCTTCTTGTACATCTGGTGTTCAGGTAGATCATTGGTATCCTTGAGCTGTTTGCTATTACATGGAGTGTAATTTTTTTTAACCTCTTAAAGGTGTAAACATACATTGCCTTTTTTGTTTCTAAGAAAAAAGAAGTAATTATAAAATCCAAGATGAGCAATGATTAACACTAATAAAGTGCTGGTAGTTGCCTAAAGGCACTTTTATTACAGGTACAAGTTGCTGTAAATGTACTGTTGATATTTTTTTTTTTTTAAATTTTATTATTTTTGTCTTTTTTTTTCCTTTTTTTTTCTTTAATGTGACCTGAATTATCCTTAAATAAACTTCATGTTTCTGATTAGAAAGAGGAAAGCCGACAACTAACTCAAATCCAGTACATAGCATGGCCTGATCATGGGGTTCCTGATGATTCCAGCGATTTCCTAGACTTCGTGTGTCTTGTGCGAAAGAAGAGGGCTGGCAGAGAAGAACCTGTTGTTGTTCACTGCAGGTATCCATTTTTTCCAGCTGTATTAAATCATCACACTGAATTTACTTAGCATCAAATAGATTTTCTGTGCTTTGTGGTTGAAATAAACATTTAATTGTATCTGCTTTGGGGATGACAGGAGAACTCAACATTTAAATGAAACAATTACTTAAAATGGTGATCACATTTCAATAGGCAAAAGTTTGAGTATCTACATGCATTGATCTGTGCAGGGGTTTTGTTGTTTTTGAGGTTTTTTGTTTACAGTTTAAATGCTTGTGCTAACAGGCTATATAATAATTAAGGAAAATGGCAAAAGATAATTAGGAAACTTTTCCTCATGGTGACTATCCTACAAAACTCCATGATAGCTGTATAAATAATCTATAGCTGAAAAAGTGGGTGATATATGTAATGATCAAAGAAAAGACATGTTCTCTCAAGTCTGCAGTCTTAGGCTACATGATATATTGATACATACGGGGAGTTATGGTTTAGTGATGGTGTTGCTTTTTGTTTGTTGTGTGGGTGTTTATTTTTGTCAAAATTAGGTTGACGGTTGGACAAGATGATCTTTAAGGTCCCTTCCAACCTAGAAGATTCTGTGATTCTGTGATACATTAAGATGACACATTTTTCTCAACAATTTACTTTTGGCATGAATTAAAATAACTTTGTAATTCGTGTTTTCATGTACACGTGAAATGTGTTTTTCTTATGCAATAGTTTTTAATAGCATTCTACATTCCTATGATAAATTTCAAAATCTTAATCCTTTAAAATACCTGGTTAGTAAACTATAACAATGCTCTTCAAATGAACGTGTGCTATACCTATTCTCGGTGAGCTCTCCTGTGAATAAAATTTGACCTCTAAATTCCTGAATACTCCCCAGACAGTCAGTGTTCCTGAGTCAGATGTGCATCATTCCTGTTTCAGAGAGAAGCTGAGAGGTTTAAGGGATAAAATCAATTTAAAAACTATATAATTTACAAGTAAACTAGACATTTACTGAAGAAGATCAAAGAAAAACATTTTCTCTCCTTAACACTTTGTGTATCAGAAATTGTATTTAATTGGTTTTGCTCTCTCTTCTGCTTCATGCTGGTCAGGGTGAATCTTATTAACTAGGGAAACCAGTACCAGAATGCCGCTGTCTTAAATGATACTGTTCCTCAACTTTTTGATATACTTTTGGTTGATGTGGTTGTGAACAAATAGGGAAAATATAAAAGACAAATACAACTTTTACAATATAAAGTGTGTAAGTCTGCAGAGGCACTGAAACAAGTTTGGAGAGTATGAACAGTTCCTTTCATCTCAATGAGGCATCAGTTCAGCTCCACACTCATCGTTTCAAAACCAACATTTATAACAGCTTTATGCTTCACAGAAGAAAAGAGGGGGAATGTCACAGTTCAACATAACTTACTTAATTTGCCAAACTTGGTGGCTGTTGGGAAGTATAACCAAATTCCACTCGTGAGACAAGCTGGAGTAGCCGAGGGGTTCCTCCATATGGTGCGTGCACACTATTTTTAACGTCTGTTCGATTGAATAGGACAGGGCATTAGTGCAACAACACGATAAAATTTGTTTGCAAAACTAAGCCACCAGCTTTAGCATGGAGAATCCAAGTAGCCAGTAGAGCAGACTTTTGTACAACGATAATTTAAAAACAAAAAACACAGATTATAAAGCAACAAAACCCTTAAGAAATTGGATAGGGTTTTTTGTTACATTAAACTACTTAAAACATGTTTCCAAGTTTGTCTTCATGTGTTCATTTTTATTTTTACAAAGCTCCTACTATTTTAGTCGAACAGTTTCTAATTCTTGGTCTAGATGAGATGGTGAGCCACCCTGTCCTGTCTGTGCTCTTTGTGATTTTCATGTCCTGTCTCGATGTTCCCCTCTATCAGTCAATGATTCCTTTTTCCAGGCTGAAGAATCCTGGCCTACCTGATATCTATCATATGGAAACTATCACACTTTCTGTCATTGTTGATGCCCTTCTCTGAATCTTTTGAAGTTGTAAAATGAGCCATTAGGTTCTTTGACAGATACTGTTCCTGTTTGGTTTTGATAAAGCATTCTGCATATAAATGCTACAAGTATAAATTCTAGAAATACAAAATGCTGTTGAATAATTTTATATAACCAGCACGTTTACATCTTGTCATAAAATTCTCATGACATCACTGAAATATATAGTAGCTTTAATGCCACCTTCTGGACAAAGATTTAAAGTAGTTGTTTGGCCAGGTTTAACTTGAAGCTATGCTTCAAAATCAGAACAAGTACGTTTCAAAGTTTGGAATGTTTATATTAAATAATTTAGAAGCAAACAGTTTCATTTATTGATTGAAATACTAGTTGCATGAGTTGAGATAATGCTGGGATTTGAAAATACGGATTTGGTCCTGAATTCAAATATGGAGAATCATTGGTTTTCTGTTTCAAAAGTGCAGCATAATTTTCTTCAATGTATTTGAATTTGAAACTGGTTATCATGTTCAAGGTGAAATACTCAGTTTTTGAGGATTGCTACTTGTGGAAAAGTGTATGTACATGTAAAACAAGGCCGATGCATCTTGGAATGGCAACATTTTCAATCATCTTTAGCTTAAAAATAAAACAAATCTAAAGATATGTGTGTTATGGTTCTTCCTTGTCTTGAAAGGGATTGCTGTTACATATTCCTTTTCAATCTACACAAGTTACATCTCTCTTGTATTTTTTAATACTAAGAAAATTATCATTATTGTCATCCTCCAAAGGTTTCTTGTAATTGTTCTATTCCTTATTCTGAAATATGAAGGTATGGATCACTTCAAGAACATAAACAAGTTTTTATCAGATGAGCCCAACGTTCAAGTAACGGTCATTTCAGCAATGCTCAAATTGGTACAAAATGCACAGTGTATGCTGGGTATCTCTGTGTTTGGCTATCGTCTAGATATTAGTGTGATTTATAATATGGCCTGAATAACTATATGTTTGTAGATTCTGCTCAAGTGAATGGCTGGGTTAAGACAGTCCCTCTTCAAAGGACCACCAAGTCTGCACTGATTGTTTTTTGCTCTGTTTAGGCAGGGTGGAGGCTTCCAGTGACTCGGACACAATCTCTCTTAACCCCTGTCCTTAATAGGATGGGAATCATAACGATCGATCGTGAGACTGCTTGAGAAGGATGGTCTTTAAGTCTGAACTATATTCCAGACACTTTATTTCCTTTTTTCATTTGAGGTCTTTTGCTGTTTTTTTCAGTGCTGGGATTGGACGGACAGGAGTTCTTATCACTATGGAGACGGCGATGTGTCTCATTGAGTGCAATCAGCCTGTTTATCCATTAGATATTGTAAGAACCATGAGAGATCAAAGAGCCATGATGATCCAAACACCTGTGAGTATCACACTTCCTGTTCAGTGTTGCAGAAGAATAATTTATTATCTAGTCACATCATTAGATGGATTTTTAATATGCCTGCTGTTAATCATATGGCAAAGAGTCACCATTACTCGGTGTAGCTGCAGCCTTGGCTTCAAACTGGAGTAAGTTGCTAAGGAAAGGAGCAATTCCTTAAATTTCTAAAAAGAAAGCTTGAAAAAAGCAACAGCTGTTTCAGGGATACCTGGCAATTAATGTCAAAAAGGGCCAGTTTTCAGTACTGTAAAAACTACTCAGTGGAGAAAGCAGTTCTAGGTGTTAAGAATGGGAGTAGTATAAAAGGTAAGCACAGAAAGATCCAAGACATGCAATTCTGTGATGCAATTCAGTGATTTTGTTGCCTTAGTCATTATGAAAGCAAGCCTTAACTCTGCCCTGTGGTGACTCAATTAAAAAGAAATAATCAGAGAAATATTATTTTTTTAAAAATCAGTGTAATTAAATCTGCTGCAAGGATATATCAAAGTAATTTTAAGTATATTTAGTCTAAAAAAATAACTTGCTACCAGGATTCTTTTGATGCTCTCTTCACATTTGATGTATCTTAAGATGCTAGAATTTTTCTTGAATCTATAACATTGGGGGGGTTTTTTTGAGATATTTGTGATGTTGCTTGAATGTATTACATTTCAGAATTGTAAAAGTTTTTGAACATTCAGAAACCTTTTATTTGTATCAGTCAGGTGTTGCATATCTGTGAGAACAGTTTGTGTTTACATTTTTGGAAAATAAGTAAAGAGGGTCAAAACACTGAGTTATGCTGTCTTTAAAAAAAAAAAAAAGGTTTGGACTCTTGGTTGTCCCAAGCTTTGACAAATTCCAGGTTTTTTATTTTTTTTTAATTAGTAATTGGTTGTATAGTTTTACTTGTGGTATATAGCACTTAAAGTATTTTGAAGGAGAAAAGGCATTAGATCCAGTATCAAATCTCCCCCACAGTTACCTGAAGGCAGTTAGTCATTGTAGTAATTTTAATGTCCCTGCTGCTGATCCTCTAATCAAATCTGAATAAACCTTTTGTGTTCTTCAGATGGTATTCAGACTGACAAAAAGTATATATTCGCCTCCATTTCTAGGTCATCTGTCATTCAGTGCTGCTGTCCAGTATTCATGTTCTACTTAAAAAAAACGTATTATTCAGCTAGCACAGGAACATGAGGAACATGATGATAGATTGAAACATAATAAAGGATGCCCTTTGGTGTTTGTGATGACTACGCAGTATGAATAGAGAGGAAGAAAGTTCTATTAGTAAAGGTGGAAGAGAAACCAGAATTTTCAACCTTCAGTGAAAGGCATGTTTTTATTGCATCAGAGGGAGAAGGGATAATAAAAGACTAGAAGTGTGGGGTTTGTAAAATGTCATAAACATTAGCTGTTATAATTTCTCCTTTGGGGCACTCTGCCCGATTTTGTGTCTCCTGAAGATTCACTCAGTGTCCACAAGATGGCCCCGTGCAGGGGTGTCTGCTGTCCCTGTGGGAGAGCAGAGTTCAGTCTCCTTCAGGACACGCTGCAGGCAAAATAAGTATTTTACACAAATGTGTATAAATGTAACTATTTTAATATACGTGCAACAACGCACTAAATAATGATTCTATTACTAAACCTGTTACTGTCCCCATTTAAGATCCGACGTCACCAGTTACTGCATAGAGAGGGATATTCCACGACACAGAAGACCAGCTTTCTGACCAGCATATTCACCATTATCCACTATTCAGTGTCAGTTGTGATGCTTTACAAAGCAGTTCTTTGATTTCATTTTATTTGCATTATATTCTAATTTGATTACTGTTGGCATTTTTAGCCTTTACTTGTTTAAAACAAAATATTAGAGGCCTCTATGTAGGCAGGTGCTAGACTTGAATAGATTGCAGAGTCGGTGTATAATGTTGAGAAACTGGAGTTCTGGCTTTTTAAAATGTGAAAGAATTTTCTTTTTCATCAAATTCTGAGAGGGAAGTGCCAGTGACATGCCATAACTAACATTAAGTATGAAAAAGTGCTTTAAACTATAGCTACTAAATCCAAGTGCGTGGAAACCTCTCAGGTCAGTGAAACTTCAGCAATGAACTGAAGAGCAGAAAATGACTAAATAGGTGATGTTGTAATAAGAGTACCAGTTTTGTGGGTATGACTTTCGGGATGTATTTCAAAGTGCCATTCATCCCATTCTTCTGTTGAGGAACAAGATGTTCTAATGTAAAGTTCTTGTTGTTTTGTATTTCCTAAACTGACTTTGAAGCACAGTTCTTGGCTTGTCAAGGGGATGGGAAAATCTTAAGAGGCCTTTTCTGCGTCCAAATGCCATGGTTTGATTACGTTTCTTTTCAATTTACTGAATCTACTTTCCTTTTCAGAGTCAATACAGATTTGTATGTGAAGCTATTTTGAAGGTGTATGAAGAAGGATTTATTAAACCTTTACAACCGTCACTGCATAAGTAAAGAGCTAAACCCCTAGGATATCAATGGAGGAACCCTGTCCTCTCTCACGAACTGGCAGCATTCTTTGTGCCATAATACTGCTTGCAGGAAACAATAGTGAAGTACAGCAAAGAATTGACAAAGGACTTTGAAAACTTCAGCACTGTTGCACTTTACGTTGAAACAAAATCAGTCTCTGAAACTCTTCTAACTTTCATCTGTTTGAAGACTTTATTTTCGTGCTTTGCTCCGAACAAACCATAAACTGAAAGAACTAATTGTGTTCAGGGTAATCTACGATATTTCATTGTAGTGCCATATTCTGCGCTTCTGGTTGAATTGCTACAAACAAGGCTTGGAATTATTTCACTCTGTTTTACACCCATGTCTCTTAAAACGAAAAACAAATGAAAAAAACACACTAAGCCATGGTCTTTTTCCAGTGCTAGGTTTATTTACTATGTACAGACTCTCTCACTGTTTTGTTTTTTACAACATTAGCAATATTGCCGATACTAGATAGAGACACACTGCCTACTGATGCAGCACACTTTGTCCTACACCCTTTCTAGAGACCAGCTGGTGGTTAGAGGAAAGCTGGCGTCTGTGTTAACCCAGCGGTAGCTGCATAACGCCCACTTACCAGCATCTTGTACAAAATAATAACAATAACAATAATAAAAAAAAAAATTAAAAAAAAAAAAGAGTAAAATAAATAAACAGCGTTTCTTTGACACAGCTTGTGTGTCATACACTGGTGTATTCTGATTCGTGTGACTTAAAGATTACATGATGGGAACTAGTGCATGCATTCTGTCTTAACCCCTTAAGTGCCTTGAGACTTACAGCGTACATCCAGTGAAAGGCACTCATGATCCTGTGGGGGTGGTATTGTCCTGTCATATTTATCTCAATGGGTTCAGATGTTTAAAAACGGCCCTTGGTGCTTGGAATGTGTTACCGCAAGGGGTCATGGAGATACCGTTCCCTCGTTTCCTCACACAAGTACCTGAGTGCTGTTCTCGGTAGCAAAAGCACCTCTGCCAACTTAATGAATGAGCATTGTATGCTGCTGTATTGTAATTATGTGAAAAATCTGACACATTCCTTCATTCCTTCCAACTAGTAACTTACTAGCAGCTTACTATGAAATGCTGGTAGGTCATTAGAAGCTGATACTTCGTTTTATCCTTTTACTGAGAATAGCTGTCTTACTCGATTAGGACATAACTCTTTAATAGCACTGATAATTAAGTTGAACTTACAATCAGATGTGATTTAATTCCATTATCTGCTAACCAATTACTTCTTAAGTCCTCATAGTTGATTTCAAGCCATGTTCGTACAGGTCTGCCTTCTATTACTTTTTTTTTTTTAATTGTTTGTGGGGGGAGGGAGGAGAACACTATGAAGTTGTCCCAGAACTTTATTTTAGTTCCATAATGACCCCAGTCACCTTCTGTTATGCTTGTGCAAAATTGTTCCAGTTGGTATGGGTTGCTTCTTATTTTAGTAGGTAGAAGATTTGTAAGAAATGTCTGTTTGATACAGTATCTGAGCTCATTCTAAAGATATGTAAATGTCCCAGTTTTTAAATATTTTTCCAGTATAGGAGAAACCAAGTCAGAAGCAAGGTGTCCAGTGTAATATACTGTAAGAAAAAAATCAGTCACTTCTTTGACTGCCCTGTGACAACGCAACTTTGTGCCCTCTATTTAAAAGTTTTAATTTATTGTATTGGTTTCCTGAAAATGTTTATCCAGAAAATTTTGTTGTAAGCTATATAGAGCATAGAATTAAAATGAAAAGTTCTACGCTAAATAATTTTTAACTATTGAAGAATTATATTATATAATATACTGTGTTCTGTGGACATTTGAAAGAGATCAGCTATGAACTATTAAGTGAAAAGGGATTCAGGCAAAGTGAAATCCTGGTTTAGGACTTAGTAATAAACGTGAACCACAATGCCAAATGGAAGATAGAGTTTTAAATATTTTTAGAAAACAAAATAGTATTAGGTGGCCTGTGGCCCAGTTACTTATATTTCTAGATTTGATGCTTAAATCAATGTTATCCCTCAGTGAAAAATGAATCTCTCAAGAATCTCTGGATCTGATAAACTGAAAAAAAGAGTAATAAGGTAGCTTTAATCTCAGATTTATTTTAAGCCATTTGCAACAAAGAAAATTCTTCTTTAGGAAAGTATAAGCTTTAACTTTGACATGATGAGATTATTAGCTGAGATGCTGGCTAGTTGGAAAGTTATTTTAAACTCAGCACTTACTGTCTAAAAATTAAAATAATTTATCCATTATGTTGAAATAAATTTTCTTCATAGTCAAATTGTAAATGAAAATAGTATTTGCCCCTTTTTTTTTCTGAGGGAAATCAGAAACGGAGTTTATAGCAACTTATAGTGCTGGTATGTCACATATTTAACTATTCTAATGTAAAGTTGCCAAAGCAGTTTGAGTTCAAAAGACCCATTTATACCACAATTAAGTGTGGGATATTTATTGGTTGTCTGTCGTTAACTGTTTTGATTACAAACGCAGGCAAGAATAATAGGTCTCTTCAGAATCTTCCTCTGCACTGACTTAAGCTGATTTGTAGTGTATTAACTGGTTGCACTGGGAAAAAAAAACTGGAACAAAGTACCTATTCTTAGATAATTGGCCATCAGCAACTCAGTGGCTTTTTGGCTTCTCCAAAGCCAGGATAGTGGTAACCAAAAACTGATTGGGAGAGAGAACAGCATTGAAGCCTTTCTGCACCATAAATCATTCCTTAAAGTGTTTCTACCTGTTGTGGTATAAATGGCCTTTAAAATATTTTTATACGGCCAAAAAAAAAAAAAAAGCGAAACTGCTAAATATTTTACTTTGGGTTATGAAGATCTGTATCATCCTTAAGAGTTTTTTAAAGAAGTTTTTGTATGTTTCATGCTGTACAAAACATGAATGTATCTTTCAGACATAATGACCTATAGACCTATATGTGATTGGTGTTACGACTGTTGGATTTTATGAATAATTATTTTCATACCATTTGATTAGGAAAAAAATGTTGGCTGGGTGTGAGAAAGAGTATGTTTGTAACACTTCCATGATACAAATCCAGTTTTAAAAGAAAAAAAAAAAAGTTTTCATTGTAAATAAGAGCAATATTATGAGAATTTTGTGCCAATGTATAATGTTAAGACTTTGGTTTTCCTTTTAGGTTCGGATTGAAAACTACCACTACCATCTCTTCTTTAAAGTGGATTTGAAGGTTGTTTTATATTTTGTTTTAAGTAGAAAGACATGGGGCTCTGGTGGAGGCTTTGAGTGTTTTGGGGCCTTTTTTTTTTTTTCTTTTTGCTAAATATGAAATAAGATGCAGGTATTGTTTAATAAACCACCTACAGATTGTCAGCCAATCCACTTTGAGAAATACTGCTTTAGATATATCAGATAATTGAGAGATGAAGAATTCATTTATTCTGAATTTGGAAGCAGTTAGTATTTTAAATAACTTGCAAGTCTTAAGCAGCAAAATACTGTTTTTATGCATTTTATTTTTATATATTCTCTCCCAGTGATGAAAAAGAGAAAGCTTGATATTTTTCCTTCTCTCTACGTTTACTGCTAGCTGACGTTTCTTCCACATTTCTCTGTTAAATCTTGAAAGCTCACGTCCCATATAGGTAAAGTGGTAACACCTCCAGAATATCTCGTTACAGTCTGGCACCCCATCTATTAGAGAAAGGGTGAGAAAGCAGTTGGGAGATTGAGGAACACGAGGAGTTTGTTATGGAACCCGTGTAGCCGGCAGCTTTCCCTGGAGACCTTCCAAAAAGCGTCGTGGTACCCGTGGAAGGGCGAAAAACGCAGCGGCCCCGCTGAGGCTGCGCTGCCCAGGGAGATGGGGAAGGAGGGAAGGTCTGGGATGGAGATGCTGGAGCTCCAGGTATGCTGTGGAGCTGGATTACGTGATATTTTTATGCTTCTGCAGTGTGTGTGCAGGTGTGTGGGCGATGTCTGATGGCTCAGGGAGTTAGCATGCGCCTGAAAAACTCTACAGATCCACCCATTTGCAAGCGAAAGCAGGTTTTCCGGTCCGTACGCTGTAGTTTTGACTGTAGAGCCGCTCTGCTGGCAATATTTGAGACCCTCAGCCCTGAGGATAAAGGGAGGGATTGGGTTATGGTTCAAATTCAAATTTTGTGTTATTTGATCTTCCACAAAGTACAGAAATAGGGCCCTTAAAAGTCATTTGTAGTCTTTTTGTAGCTCACATCTCAGGTCTCCGGTTGACTGGGTGTATTTGCTAATTTAAGTGCCCACCTTCTGTCTTGAGACTCAGAAGTCTCTTTTCCGTTGCTACTTTTAGTGCGAGGATCCAGTATCAAAATCTGGTGAAAACATATTCATTGATTAGACGTGGATCTTGCGTGGAATTGCAGGGATTATAATTAGTGGTGATTGGGAAGCTGTTGCAAGGGGAAAAATGGTTCGTTTGTTCCAGTGTAACTGTTCTGTCCAGTCTCTGGTGTCCCACTGCAGTTATAAACTGAAACTGCTGTTATTTTATTTTTTTTAATTGGTTTAGCAGTCTAGCAAAGGAGGCCGGGTTGTTACCACGGGATTTTATCTCTGTGCTGGTTGCTGCCACAAGTGTGCATCTTCCCAGTTCATAGGGCTTCTCCAGCTACACGTTTTCAACTGGTGCATAAGCTGTAAGCTCTGGCTGTTGGCTTGGGCATGTTTTGTTCATTGGGAGCTCAATGGTAAAAATTTGAGACAAGTCACTTTTTAAAAAAAATGCTGACATTTTAATTTTAAAAATATGGAATTTTTTATTTCTTTGAACCAGTAGCCTCTTTTTTTTTTCTTTTTAAAAAAAGCCACCAAAATATCTTTCGTTCTAGCCTGCTGCACCATGAGTTTCACAGACTGGCTGACAATTTGTGGGTTGTGTTTATTTCGTATTTAGCAAGCTTACACATTTTAAAGGGTGATTTTATTTTTTTTTTTTCAAAATGTTTTGATGTTTAAATAGTAGCACTTTATCTCATGCTTACTACTGACTGAACTATTGGACACAATAAATTGGGTTTGGAGAGAGATGCTCAATGGGTTTCTGTACAGAGATGATTAGGATTACACCCTGGTACGAATGCTTTCTATTGTTCCAACCATTTCTGGTTTATTGTGCATGTGTTTCTGATGGACTTTCAGAAAATAGCTATTCTGAAGATATTAATAATGCTATCATCTTAATTTTTCTGTCTTAAAAAGAATATAAAGCTTGCATTAAAAAAAAGGTGCAAATAGAAACTACAGGGTACTCAAATTTCTCTCTGTGATCTCTCTCAGCTAGCTGCAAATTAGCTATGTTTACTGTAAATCTTTCTGCTAAGCATTATTTTTAACATTAGATCAATTACCTGGAAATCAGTATATTTTTTTTTTACTTAACTTATTTGAATTTTGATAACTAAAGATAATGCACAACGAAGTTTAAAGAAGTTGTCACCCTTTTACTCCCAGGCCAGGGGCCTGAGATGCGAGTGAAAGGGTTAAACAGTTTACATTAAGCTGTTTTCTTTAACTAGAATATATCCACAAAGACTAGACTATAAACGATCCAGTGCAATTATCTCAGTACGTTGGGGCACCACAGTAACAACCCTTAATAATTTTTACAGGAAAATTAAGGTAAGAAAACAAAGGTTTTATTTTATCCGGATTTGTTTTCCATTTGGTTTGATTTGTTTACCAGCAATCCCATTTTAACCAGTCAATTTGGCGGGGCTGTTTGTGTAAGGTTTGGGGTTTTTCTGTAACAGGTGCTATACTATGTGTAAATACAAAGGGAAAGATATTATTTAGATCATTATTAACAATCAGATGGTGGCAATATTTTTTTGCTAGTTACTTCTGGTAATTAATTTGCATTTCCAGCTGTGGCTTTCAGTTGTCAAATTTCATCTCAGTTTCATACTGCTGAATGATGGACTGCAAGTGTGAAGTAAATCATCTCGGAGTTGAATAGCTCTTTTGTTGTTTAGACTAACTCTTGTGTATCTTTATTATTGTTGGAGGGATGGGAAGGTTCTTCCCATAAGTAGACTTTTGCCTATAAATTTGTTTAAAAGCACATGAAGGGGAGAAAAAAAAAATAAAAACAAAACAACAAACAAAACAACAGAAAACCTAAATGCAACGTCTTGGCTCAACAGCCGGGGGGTGGTTGATTGAAAATGATGGAAACTTGAAATTGGTCAACACTGGACAATGTGAAAATAACTTCAGCTTTTGTCACTGCAGCTACTGTATGCTTTAAAGGGCCTTATGTATTTGTCCTCATTTTGATAAAATGAAATTTCTTGCCATTAAAATGATACACTAACTTCTACCGAAAACCAGCAGTTCCCAGGATAAATATGCTAATTAACATTTAACAAGTCTTGTTTTAGTCTTAAGTAAAATTTCATTCTATTATGTGAAAAAATGCTGTTATGCATATTTTGTGGATATATTTAATTTCAGTTGACAAATAGTTGTCTAGGTACAGACTTGAAAATATATATATAGTTTACTTGTGGATCTTAATTGTTTAATTGCAAAATAAAGATGTGCTTTAGTAATTTAAAGTTTAAAATTTTTTTTGCTATTTTCTTGCTACTGTACACGTGGTTTTGCACTGCTACTTTTATTACTCTTCTGATTCCAGATCATGTTTATCTTGCGTTTTGTTTTTGGGTGCTTTATGCCATAAATACAGCCCTATGGATTGAGCACTAGAAGAGGTTGCTAAAATTGCTTGGCTACAAAAGAAGCATGACAGTATCAGCCAAAGGTAGTTTTCGGTTTTGTTTTTTGTTTGGAAAATACATACTGCAGATTTGGCTGCAATGGAAGAACAACTCTTTGGTGTTTTTTTTTTTATACAGTGAGTGTTTTGGAGACAGTGTTCAATAGAGATTATAGTCTGATCATAAAACTGAGCACGAGAGGAATATCAATGTGGAGAACAAGAATTCCAGATGGAAGCTTGTGATTAAATATTTCCTGCCAAAAAGTGAAGAGATGTTCAAAGCAAAAGTAGGAAAAGAGGATGAAAGGACTCGGGAGGCAAGACAAAAATCTCAGGAGGGACAAGAGTCTAAGAGGAGACCCATATGTTCTTAATTTGACTGATTAATTTAGGACTTTAAAGTGAGGACAAGGTGTTTGGATTTGAAGTACAAAAGGATAAACTACGGGGAAAAACATTCAAGGAGAGAAACAAAAGTAGGAGAGTAGGAAGAAATTTGTTTAATCTGGAATAGGAAAACTGGATAGAAGGCAAGTCACAGCTACCAGTTTCATGGGCTTGGACTGTATCTGAGTAGCAAACAGTGAGGAAGGAGTAGGCTGTAATTACATGAGGAGTAGCAAGAGGCTGGTGTGAAGCAGAAAGAGCAAAAAGGAGCAAAAATGTTTGTGTCACTGAAGCTACAGAAAGGAAGCTAGAAATAGCAGCGTTCTTGGTGGTAACAAGGAAGCTTGTAGGTGACAAAATGAAAAGCAGCTCAATTTGAGGAATCAGTTGAAGATGGGCAGAAAGTTTAGGCTCAACCTCTAAGAATTGGGTAATTTATTCTCCAGAATGTTTTGTCTAAAATAGGAAAATGTAAATTGTTTTAGACTTAGTAGCAAGGAGACTGCCATTTGTGACCAAGATCTCCACTAAAACCTCAGCATCTAAGCATCCTTGTTATGCAGACAATCAGTTGGTTGATCTGCACAGAGAATTAATCTGAAAACCTCCCAAGATATTTTTTGCTCTCTCCTTAAATGTTACAAGATTTTGTACATTTCCTCTGGGAACTGCATTGGAAGCTCCCACATGTATTTAATGACAGACTAGCGGGAGCGAGCATAGCCCCTGATAAAAACTATGTAAATTCCCCCATTTTGTGACTTGTGTTCCTGAAAAAATAACCAGGCATGAACCCGAATCCCACTTTTCCCCAAGGTTGCCTTGTTCCTTTGGTCTGTTGCCAGCACAGGGAAGGCTAAATTAACTGGCGTTTAAGATCAAAATCAGCCTGTTGCTTTGTCAGAAATTACTGGGCAATTACCTGGCAGCCTTTTTTTTGCCTTTTTGGTTTTTTTTCCTTATTTCAGCAAATGACATTAAGGTAACGCGATGTATATTGGGGCAGTGGAGCTGATTTTGCCATATCGGTGTCTGGAGGGGTGTTTCATTACTTGGGTTCCTCTGCCTGGCAGGTGAGTGACGTGTTCTCTCAGCAGGAGGGTTTCATGGCCGAGGGTGGGAAATGTTAGCAAAAACTGGGCCAAGAAGCAGCCAAAGTCTCCCCTTTTCTCGGGCTGTCAGACAGGCCGGATTCCCCCCTTTTCCTGGGATTCTGAAGGAGCCTGGAGCGGTGTCTCTGATAGCTGGCAGGAGGCTTTGCACGCAAGAGTGGATGTTGTCATGGGTGAGGTTATCTCTTTGGAGATGTCAAATATCAGCTTCAGCACAAATACTGATGATCCCCCAGCGAGGCGGTAAGGGGGGATGCCGGTGAGGGGGGCTTTTCCCCGCAGACTGGAGGAATGAATAAGAAAAAGTGTAAAGATGTGGATCAGAGGCATTGACTGCGCTTGTATTCCTGAGGGGTTTTCCATTCCCAGCTGCGTTTTTGTCACCGCAGCCTCTCCCGGCTGTGTTATTCCGGTGTTTGTTAACCCCAACAGGTTAATGTGGCTGGTTCTGCTGTACTTGAGTACACGGCTACGCTCATCCCGTCAGGCAGCGTTCAGGGGGATGATATTTTTCTTCCAAACCGAATGGTTTTGGAGCGCGTTTGCCTCAGGCGCCTCTTTCCCGCCGCCCCGCCGAGGGCTCAGCGCGGCGCCGCGGGGGGAACCCCTGAGGGGAACTGACCCTCCCCGACGGCCAGAACTCCAGAAATTTTGTAGAATAAGTTGAAAACCCACCCCCGGAGGCTCAAATCCAAGCGCCGCTTCGTTACCGGCTTCCCGCTCGCCCCTCTTGTGTCGTGTGT